GCTTGCAGGACTGGCCTAGGGTAATTTTTAGGGGGGTTTTAATTATATTTTAAATTCGACAAATATTTAATATTCTTTTTAATTAATTTTAAATTTGTATTGTTTTGTATGTATTTTAAATAGATTGTCAGCCGCCCTGAGTCCTACGGGAGAAGGGCGGGATATAAATTCAAATATAAATAAAAATAAATAAATAAATTTTCCCATTCAACCATCTTCATTTTGTCTTGGAGACAGGATCTTGTTCTCAGTTTGCATAATATTTAATTCTGACTTCAGTGAGGAATACAGGTAGACTGCAGAATGGCAGAGCAGTTGTTCTTCCCAACACACACTAATGAGATTATTTGACAAAAGAGACTAATGCTGTGATTTGCTTTTGATCATAGAATTACAATGTGGTTTTCAGTGGTCACTTTGCTCAAATATGCAGTATGGATCACAAGTGTGGTGAGGCTTCACGCTGTAAATATCAACCCCCTGTAGCCATTCATCTCATCTTGCTAGGATTCCAAGTCTACAAACTTAACATTCTAAATTCTGCTGTTTTATTTATTTTTATTACTTTATGCCACATTTTTGGACTCAATCAATCTTTTTCATAAAAAAACCCTTTTCATTTGTTTTTGTTTAATTTCACTGTTGTTTTCAACCTGTGTCTCTCACCCATCAAGATGAATCTGAATTTTATTTCTGATTTCTAGAATATCAGCTGTCTCACCCAGTTGTATGTGATCTGTAAAACTAATAAATCTTCTATCCAACAAAAATATTTTTAATAAATGTTGAAGAGGAATAGCACCAGACTGATCCTTGTGGCAAGCTACCTCATTCTAGTTTGATAAGAAATCACTTTAGGAGCATCCTTTCATTATTATTTTCAGTTTTTATGTACTTTCCATCTTGCTAATTAAAATGTGGTTGTGGAGATACTCCGTCAAATGCTGGGCTGAAATCAACATCCGTGATCCTCTCAGAAAATTTCCCCATTAAAAAAAATGAGTGAAAGTTAGTTTGATAAGGTTTGTTCATATAATTGCCACATTGTTTTCAAGATGTTTACAGGTCACCTTTATGAACTTCTTGACTTGCTCAAAAACTATCCAGTTATTGATATCACTTTGCCAAGGAGCTGTTGTCCTCTTCAGTTGTTTGGCACTTCACTTTTCCTCCTGGATTTCTCAAAAATAAAACTTGGTCAGATCATAAGGAAGTTCCTTTAGTGCCTTAGGATACAATTCAGTTTGGTCTATCTCAAATTAAAGAGATGTTCCCTCACATCTAGAAATAGGTATCCCAAAAGATGCATAAAGCAATTATTACTTTTCATATATTATACATTTTTTTATCGGTTCTGTTAAAATGAGTGCAAATCATCTAACAGCTAACATTTGCAATTCAAACATGTGCAAGCAGAGTATTAACTATAAAGTGAATTGAAACTGTCATTTAATCACCAAGCAGCCAGTTAGGACTAGAAAGACATGCCAAACCTACTCCCACGTTCTTGGATTCCATTTGAAACAGCATAGTTTTTTCTAAATGCTGGATGGTTCATCAAGAGGAGACAAACAAATTATTCTCAGGAGCAAACAACACTCAGAGTGGCACTGCCTCTTCCCCAAGTGACCACCCTTTGCTATATTCTAGTATCTCTGAGGATTCTTTGCTTTTTCAGAAGTAATTTTCTCCATACTCCAAAATGGATCCTTGCAATTTACATGCAGGAATCTTAATAAAATTCTAGGCATAAATCAGACAGAGCTTAAATTTAGCCCTGCAAAGCATGCTGGTTTGAGCAGACGTGTGTGTGTGCGTGCACACACACACACACACACAAATTTTTGCAACACTCTGGATGTCCCTAGTGTATTCTTTGCTTGAAGTTGTATTTGTTCAGCAATCAGCTTAATGATATTACAAGAACATTTTTTTCACAGAAGAACTTGTACTGGTTTTTTTTTTCTATTTTTCTCAATGATGTTTATTGTTTTGCCCGTTTGTTTCTTAGCAGCCGTGCTAAAATTAATTGAATGGGGGGAAAAAAAGACTCAAGTTTCTTTCAGTTCCCTCAGCTAACATTTCATAAATCTCTTAAATGGGCTGATATGTTTCAGATCAGAAAAATCTTCATTGGTGCTAATGGGTTTATCAGGTCTAATTTTCATTTCTATTTTTCCAGTATGGTTGCACTTTGTAGAAGATACTCATCCAAACATGGTTTTTTTTATAAATACATAGGAATAAAACAATGGATTGTATCCAATGTACTCATAGCACAAAGAAACCTTTGCAAGGGAAATTTTCTGCCATCTCCTCCCTTCTTCAGTCTCTAATCGGGACTTTTAAAAACATCTGTAGTGAGTAAAGAGGCTGTTGGGGGAGGATAATTGGGGGATTGGCCACTTGTGCAGACTCAATTTAGCCTATATAATTGTGGTCCAGACATTTGAATGATCAGTTCCTGGTAGTATTCATCTGTGTACCAGATGAAGAGCTTTTCAAGTATTAGAAATAATTTCTTGATGGAAGGGGCTGTGAACCAGGATTGCTCTGTGAAGTGGAATGTTCCCCATTACTGGAGGTTTTCAAGAGGAACCGGAGAGCCATTTTTCAGAAACACTTAAATGGTTCTTGAACTGTCCATGAACACTAAAAGTCTCCTGAAGTCACTTCATAGGATACTGTGAAGAAGAAGCTTTTCAAAGAACTTTGAGGCCTTGTTTACCTTAAAGAATCCTTTTATTGCTACATAGCTTCGACACGTACATAATGAAGCCAAAAACTGAATACTCCTTCCCCCAATCACCCGTAACAAAGCATAACTCACTCCTTCATTTAACAGTCATCAATCACGTTCTCCAATTAGTTTGAAATGTGAACTTTCCCTCCCGTATCTCCTCTGGTTACAACTGACCTTGAAAACACTGTACTGAAATATTGTTATGGATAACTATTCCCCGAGTACATACTTTCCCCCCTCCCTTCTAACATTGTCTGACTTTAACTCTAGAAGTGATACACAGGTTAAATAAAACATGTCTGCTTCTTCATATATTGTCAAGCAAGAACATCCGATGTTAGCAGCCTTGACAGATACCCTGTTGTCCTCTGATTCTGCTGTTTAAACTACATGTTCTCTGGCATCACTTCCCATTCTGATCCCACCATTCTTTTGTTAACTATAGTCAACATGGCTGCTTTGTGGGTATTAATGTTAAGACTTCATGCTACAGCTTACAGGATGATAGTAAGTAATTATGATACTTGACAAAGGTTGTGCTAAGGCAAAGAAAAAAATTCCCCTGCTATAATAGTGAGGCTATGTTCAAAATCACCCAGTAGTTAGCATTCTTGTGCGTTAGTGGTAGAAAATCAACTGAATTGGTTCAAATAATTGGGAACTGAGACATATCAGGTTTTTATCCCACCCTCATTTATTTCTTCTCAGTGCTGGTAGGTCAGATGTCAGTTGCTTTCTTGATCTTTGTGTCAGTTCCTGTTTCTGGATTATGGCAGTTTGCAATCAAATAAACAACCATGTGTTCTTGTATGATTTGACTGTTCTTATTGCCTATTCTAATTTCTCTGAAAAGTACTGTAGCACACATAAATGAAATCATATTTTCCTAGACCATGGAATGGTACATTAAAAGACAAAACAGATCACTAGTATTTTCCCCCTTAGGGAGAAGTTTTCATGCAAGTTGCTCGAGTCATTCTGATGTACTTGGTTAGTTTTGAGCACACTATAGGGCCATGGTGGCAAAGCTATGGCAAGGGTGCCAGAGGCGGCACAGCCCTCTCTGTGGGCACGCGCGCCATCGCCCCAGTCCTTGGCCTTCAGCTGGGTTTTATAAAACCTTTTCGTTTTAGGCCTCCGCCGCTGTGTGCAAAAAAAAAAAAAGATTCAATCAATCAATCAATTTCAACTTCTCGCAGGAAAAAAAAGATCTCGCAAAGTTGAAATTGATTGATTGAACTTTTTAGTCCCACCCAGTCTGCTATTACCACCGCAGTGACGCCCACCCAATGGGCCACACACATCCAATAGGCCACGCCCACCCGGCACCGACGATATATAAGTGGGTTTTGGGTTGCAGTTTGGGCACTCGGTCTCTAAAAGGTTCGCCATCACTGCTATAGGGTTTCAATTTAGGATATTTTATCATTATATAAATGTCACACCATATTAACACCATATGATCAAGGGCCTTATGGACTCTATATGGCTAATTTTTCATAGATAACATGAAACTTTTTAGAGAAAAAGATTCTGGATTTTACATCTAACCAGAGTGAACTGCACATGGATGTAACTACAGTACTTAATTTGAAGTTGGACAGTGTGCATATGAACAAATAGGATCTGACATATTTGGTAACAATATGTGTTCATCTTTAAACTTTAAAATCCACCTCTTAGCTCACAGAGAACAGTCTTCCTTAATGTGTGAAGGATATTTTGCAAACCCAAGAGGAGAACCAGAGAGAAACTCAAGTAAATTGAAACTAGAACTTCAGTATCCTATTCATGGCTTTTCAATACTTTTATGGTTGTTTGTGAAATTTCTGATGTCCATCATAATTCAGTAGAATTTTCTCTTTGCAAACTTTTCCAGTTCAGCCCATACAACAATACTATGCCAAATCAGAACTTGCAAATTTTATCCTAATTTTATGGTTTGCATTATGAGGAGAATTTTAATGCTTTATCTTATAGAATGGTTTTATATGTACCTGGACTCAAACACACACACACACACACACACACACTTAAAAAGAAAAGGTGCACCCAGGTCTTTAATAAGCAGTCTCCAAAATGTAATGCTGTATTTTGGCATCAGATGAGGTAGCCTTAGGAATAGGTTTGTAAGTCTTTTTTCATAATTTGGTTGCCAAGATCAGCCTATATTCTAATAACAGGATATTCTCTTCTGCAGCACTTTAGACATATTTCCTACATTGGTATCTCTGGCGAATGCCACCCTTCCTCCCAACAGACGATTTGATGGAATAGATATCTCTGAAGTCCTGTTCGGCTACTCAAGCAAAGGACACCAGGTATGGCATTTACCTTCTGAACACTGAGTAGCAACATCAACTGCTTGAAGGTTGGAAACTCTGAACTTCCCTAAAATTCCTCATGTTTCAAATGATTATCATTGCCTCAAACAATGTCAATTTTAGAAGGTGCCCTCTCTTGCTCCCGCCTTACAATTTTTGATATATTTTTAAACTGGTTTGCTTTATCTTGTTTTTGTCTTCTAAATATTTTGAATTGGTCTTAAATGCTGCAAGCTTCCCTGTGTGATATATATGAAGTTGATAAGTTCATATAACAGTTTTTTAGCCTCAGATGCTCAATTCTTGTTAGGGAAATACCTGTTATTCTCAAGCTTGAACCGCTGGCTGTAAAACAGTCAATTAAATCCTCAATTGTATTCCATAAGCTTAAAGTTTACTCTCAATCATGCATGTATTTTATGAAATATAATCACATAGTTACATAAAGCCATTAAGACAACGCAGACTTTTTCGCAAAATTGGTCAACTTCAGAAAGATTGCTCCTACTTGCACTCTCATTCTTGTTGAGCACGGCAGTTGATCTGTAAACAACTTAATACTTAAGCAAAATCCATCCATTACCTCTTAGAAACACTATGGCGGCTCAGCAGTGGAGCATTTGCCTTGGATAAAGACAATCTCTGGTTCAGCCTCTGGCATTTACAGGGAGGAAACGACTTCTATCTGAAACCAATTGCCAATTCTTTTATATAACATGCTTTGAGGACTAGTAGTTTGATGTTAACCACACTGAGTGTGCATGTGTGCAGGTATTCTGTGGCTAAGATTCTCGGTGTGCCGTTTAAATTTTCTTCCTACATTTATATAATGTTGCAGAGGCAGGAACAGTAGGAGGTTATTCCCAAGTAAATGTATGTAGGTTTGTGCTGAACCAGTTCCATCCTTTGATTTGAGTTTTAATAGGTACAGTTATACAGCAATTGGTTACAATAACAATTATTTTCTTTGCACAACACAAACATTTATGTAATCTTTCTGCTTTTTATTGTTTGCTGGCTGAAGCTTTTTTAAGAATAGAAATGCAGAGTTTTGTTTTTTTTTTCTCATAGTAATTTCATTATGTACTGTTCTTTCCACCTGAGAAAAAGAGCTAGTAGCTTCCCTTCTCACTTTGCTTATGCCTTAAGAAATTGATGACATTTCTGTGTCTGAACAAAAGACTTTCTTCCCTTATTTTTTAAATAAAATCTTTAAACCTTTTTTTTTAAAAGAAATTTCAGTGAAAATTTTTGTCTTGTTGAATAACATTCAACTTGTTGCTATTGTTTTGGCGATTTAAATTTTTCCCCTTGCAGCTCTGTTATTCCACTAAGTTGTGCCCTGCAAGAAGTCCAGGACTAATCAGCATTCCTAAATCTTAAATTCCCAAATTCTATGCATAACTGCTTTCTAGAAGGTGATGAATGCAAATGGAAGAACCCCAGTTCTGGACCCCGCAATTATAAGTTTCTTCCAAATACTTTCACTGAAGAGGTCTGTGGAGGGTTTCTAAGCAGGAGAAGACTATGATGCCTTCTTCTGCAACAGGAGGAAGAAGGAAACAGGGTCCAGAAATTCTACATCTAGCTAGGGGGAACAGTTTACAAGTTTTTCAAACACATATCCTTTTTTTTTTAGTGACATATCTTTCTCATGCCAGACTAGTAGAATAGCTCCACAATATTCCAGTGATCGCACTAATTTGCTCAAAGGAATTATTCAGGTTTTCTTTTAGAATTGTTATAATATCAGTATTTTTCGCTAAGCATATGTTCCCATATGCTCTTAAATCATCATCATCATCCCTATAAATCATCCATATAATGACGTTCTGAAGACATCATAAAATTTGGGATATGTAAACTAATAATACAATAGTAAAATAATACTCTTGATCTTGCAATGTCTAGCTCAGATCTCAGCCCAGCTCTAAATAATCATAACTGCTCTTTCTAGCATTGTAGCATCTCAGGATCATAGATACAATAATAGTAATTTTATCTTGGTGTGCAGTTTTAAGTGATAAAAGATAAAGGCATGTAGCATTTATAAAATTAGATTAGAATTAAATTAAAATTAGATTATATTAGGATTAGATTTAGAAATGATATTTTGGAAGTGTTTGCCCTTTCCTCCTTCCTAGGGCTGTGCCTGGTGCCTCAGGTAGATCTAGAATTCCTAGTCGCCTGGTTTCTAGCTTGGTGTCTCAACCACTACGCAAAACTGGTTCTCAGTAATATGAGCCTTAGTTACTTTTTTATACTATATGGAAAAAATGTCATATGTTTATTTATGTTTCTTCTTTGCAATTATATAACATTTTCCAGAGGAGCATTTTATTTGTGCTTATATTTTTTTGTAGTTCTCTGCACTGATTGGGGGGGGAAAAGAATTATTTCTGAGATTACTGAGGAGGGTGACACCACTTATCCTATCAGAAGCAAAGTTGCATAGTTGTCATGTTCAGTGGGAAATAGTCACTTTCTAGTCCCCCAACTCACTTGTGATTGAAAAGAAAGAAGACATGACCTGATCAAAAAGGGAAGTGTTTCCACCTCATTTCACTGCCAGACCACAGAAGCCTTTGTTTGGGCATTGATGTTAATGTCAGTTGCCAGCTGGAGACTGGGAAATACGAACTGAGAACCAGTGCTTTTTTTCTTTAAAAAAAAGGTGCCGGAACTCACACACGTCATACAACCCGCCTTGCCTACCCTACAAGGTTCCATCCAAAAAAGGTGCCGGAACTCCATTCTGGGCGTTCTATGACCAAAAAAAGCCCCGCTGAGAACCAGTAGTTCTCTGCAGCTGGGTATGGTTAAAGCTTGACACTGGTAGAAAGAAACTCTCAGGGAGTGAGGAAAGAGTGTTAGTGAGAAACGATAGAGTTGCTGTCTTAGCCCTGAACCTTTGATGACTGTACGACGACTTTCTTCATTTTAAAATTAATTGTAACTATTATGCTTTATTCTGCCTATCCTCCAAAGTGTTCTAGAAGCCCACCGATATCTAACAATTAAAATAATTGGAAGAGCTGACTTCAAGCTGACATCACAAATCTAGTTCCCTGAGTGGTTTTGTAGCTCTTTTAAAGCTGATTTTCTTAGTGAAAAAAAATGGTGTAAATTAAAATAAAAATGCAGACAAGGGAAAGAAAACATTCTATCTCGTTATATTGCAGAAGCAGTATCTGAGGTTTTACATAAATGCATGTTTTAAGAACATATTTGAAAGTTTTGCCTACAATACTATATTGTCTTGACAATGAAAATTATAGGAACTCCTTTTTTAAAAAGAGGTAAGAGTACATTTTTACTGTTGCAGAAGTAGTTATGCCTGCATCTCACAATTGTTGCTATTATTATTATACTTTATCATTTTAATCAGAGATATATTTGATTAGTGAGAAAAATTACTATTGTTTCCTTAATAAAATGTCGATTTGAGAGGACAATAAAAGTGGCAATAGTCAAATATTAAAACTAACTATGTTTTTTCTAATATCAGCTGTTTTCCTGACAATAGTTATCATATATGATATAAGGGAGATCTAAGATTCAGGCTGATCCCACAATTGATATTTAGTGCTGGAATTTATTTTTTTATGCTTCTCCATTATTCTGTTTATTATATTAAAAAAACTTGTACAAATGAATTAATCTCAGTGTCTGAAGTCCTGCGGACCCTAGAAATATGTTTAGGGCCTTTGTAAATGTATGGAATTGAGAACCAAGGGTTTAAGCATTGGGTGAAGGTACATAAACTGGCTTTATTGGAAGAGAAATATATGATTGAAGATTTATGATTGTTTCCTATTGGCACAAGAATGTGAATTTCTGGAGCAGGCATGCAGAAAAGATACAAGTGAAAGCCCCTGTTTTAATTGCAGGGTGGGGGAAGAGAGTTTGTTTCCGAGGCTAACAATAAATCAGTTTTCCATATGTGGCATTTCAGTTCTTTCATCATGTTCAGAATGTAAACATATTTTTTTTTAAAAAAATAAGCCCTGTTGAATAAAATGGATCGTAATCTTAGAAAACAGAGTTAAGTATTGTATACAGGTTCCTTCTAGCAGATATATTTCTTTTGCACTTGTTCTGTTTTGCTTAATTTTACATATTTTAAAAGCAACCCACAAGCCTAGTAAATAAAATATACATGCTAGATAGAGTCATTTCATTTTTGAAATTTTTCTGATTCTGAGGAGTGTGAAGAGTTCAACCCAGCTAGATTTAAAAAGTCCATGGGAATGGAAATAGGGGTTTAACAGTTTGGGTTCTAAATATTAATGGGAGCAACATAATTAGATGCATATTACCATTTGAATTTCTGTATGTAAAGTTCTTGATACTCTTTGAGCTTAGTTTTTTGCTTCCATACATTTCATTACTCAACTAGATAACATCAATGTGAGTATTATCATCATTCACTTACATTGATGAGGTTAACTAGTTGGGTAATGAAACATCTGCAAGAAAACTATCAAGCTTAGAGAGCAGCAAGGATTCACAGTTCAACCCTGAGCTACAGATATTCTCTTCTACTGGAATATATGTAGCTTTTTATAAATGACATTACGCAAAGAGGACACTTTTTAAACTTCTCAATTTCTCTTTCCTCTAGATGTTGTTCCATCCCAACAGTGGTGCAGCTGGAAAATACGGAGAAATACAGTCCCTTCGGTTGGACCAGTATAAAGCCTTTTATCTTACAGGTATGTTATTTATTGGAGTTTATTAGATATTTCTGAATATTTCCATACTGTATTTTTCTAGTAATATGTGTTCGAACGTACTGAAATGTGAATAAAACAAATATTTTACAAGTTAGTTATTACTAATCCCTAGTATCAAAATTTGTTAGTGTCCTAGCAGTTATTTGTTTCTAGCTCCTCTCCAAAGGGAGGATTTTTTTAAAAAGAGAGTAATTCCACAGAAGTGATTTTAAAAAAATAGACTGAATAAAGCATCAATAAAAATGTTGATCAATTAAAGCATCAACAAAAATGATGGTTTTATGAAGTCATATAATACAGCATTCAAGTTTATCCTGGTTAGGGAGTAGAATCTCTGCTTTGCCATGGTTCATACCAATATACCGAAATTCAGGTACAAAATTTGGTTTTGTTGAGTATTTTATTTCTGGACTTCAGTAGAGGAGCATCAGGAATTACAGGAGGATTCAATGGGGTAAAGCTGGCATGGAGAAAATATTTGAGAAGATATGTAGTGAGAATTCCTGCCTGATGGGAGTTCAAGAATTCAGCCTGTGAGAAGGAGTGTTGATTGGAATCCTGGATATTATAGGCTGGTGGTTTTTGAAGTGTTTTTGAAGTGTATATTGGATCTGGAGATTCAGTTCTGAGATTCAGGTTCCCCAGGTCCTGTACTTTTAAGGGAGACAAAATACAGCTCCCTCTGGTCTTATGTTTCCGTTTGTTCTCAGACTTTTACTGACATTTGACAGATTCCAATTTATATTCTACCATGCTCATTGAATCTTAGTCTTAATGCAGTTGGAGAGCTAGCCTGTGAAGTTCACTCTTGGCTGGTTCATCTATGGAAGGATCAACTTCCCCATCACAGACAGTCACATCCCTAGGCATCTTTGGAAGAAAGAAAAACATGTGAAAAAAGAAATGCATACTTTATTTTGCAAAAAGGAAGCATGCAAAACAATGACACATTTCTTCTTCTTCTTCTTCTTCTTCTTCTTCTTCTTCTTCTTCTTCTTCTTCTTCTTCTTCTTCTTCTTCTTCTTCTTCTTCTTCTTCTTCTTCTTCTTCTTCTTCTTCTTCTTCTCCTTCTCCTCCTTCTCCTTCTCCTTCTCCTTCTTCTCCTCCTCCTCCTCCTCCTCCTCTCCCTCCCTCCCTCCCTCCCTTGTTATCAACTTGATGCTGCTACTTTTAGAAACACTTATTTGCTTCCTTGAACCCACTCCCATTTTCTCCATTTTCTGAGTAAGAGAAAATGCCTTTGTCACCCTAAAGAATTGGAGAAGAATGAGGCCTCAAGCTTGCATTCACATGGATTCTTCTTCAGGATACATTTTGTAAGTCTCAGTACGCATCTTTCCAGAAAATTAGTTACTATGTTATATTAAGGTAATATTTCCTTAAGATACCTGCTCCTTTTTTAAACAGCATTTAAAAAGCAGAACAGCAGGACAATTTGATAGTCTTCCTTATGCCTGTTATTTTGGAATAGAGATGTAAATTCTGTAGAAGTCTATAGACACTTGCAGGGGTTGAGCTTCTGAGCTATACTTACCAAGTTCTTGCATTGTTCTTATCTCTGCCAGATGGCATAGATATCATTGCATACAACCAATGGCATTACCCTTCCTCCCACAGTAACTCCTCCAGGAGTCTATAGTTAGACTCCTAATGTGTTTCTTTCTCTGTGTCCTACCCAGTGCTTTTTTTTCTAAAAAAAAAAAAAAAAGGTGCGGAACTCACACACATCATACAACCCGCCTTGCCTACCCTACAAGGTTCCATCCAAAAAAGGTGCCGGACGTTCTATGAGAAAAAAAGCCCTGGTCCTACCTACCTACTTTTTCTCAAAAGAAATAAAAAGCAAAACTTAAAAGATAATGAACGGGATGTATACATTGTCAAAGAGAAGACAAATACATAAAAGCACTTTAACAAAAAAGTGAAAGAAATATTACTAATAATGTCATTGCAACAATAAATAGTTTTATATACTTTCTAATGCAAATGTTGTTCAAATATGTACATTTCTAATACATTTATGTGACCATCATTTTAACCTGTATACTGTATAAATGTGTCCGTATTTTATTATACTTGTCCATACAAAGTTACCTCTATAGGCAATACACTTATAAATGGCAAGTGCAATCAGATTTTCAGTCCATTGAGTGAAGGGGTCATTTAATTATCTTTTGAATCCTGCAATATCAGCCTTTTGGCCATAATAAAGACAGAGAATCCATTTGCATTGTCCAGTTGTTAAATTCCATATAGTAGATATGTAATTTAAAAGAATATTTTCTTCAGAAAATTAATGCTTTTCTTGCATAATCACATTTAGATAATCCACTACCTTCTTCCAAAACTTGGTAGAAGTGTAGGACATTGTAGAAACGTATTTTAAAGAAACATTATCCTTAGTACATCTCTAACAAAATGCTGTTTTTGACAACTCTTTTCTATACAAATGTAATGGAGTCCAATATGTACTAAATATTATTTACTGTTGTATAAGTTGTAATTTGAGGTACATTGACATTCTAGCTATAGAAGACAATCTCCCATTGTCTAAGCAATATAGGATCCTCTAATTCTTTATTCAATTATTTTCTTAAGTCTGCATATCAAATTAATTTATTGATAACAAATAACTATAAAAACTAATGGTAGGGTTTTTTAGTTTTAAAAGATTTAACAAGTTATTCTAATATCTCAGGTATCAGAAATTGAAAACACTGCTTGTTCAAACAATGTTGTTAAAAAATCTTGTAACTGTAAATATTGTCATTGGGTGATATCTTATAGATGATATTTATCTCTTAACACATAGTGTATCAATTGGTTCGAAGTCAGTACCTCCACTTCCATCCAATTTTTCCATATTATCTTATTTTTCCCAATTTTTAACTTTGGGTTTCCCCATAAAATCAATTTGGTATAGGAAAAAGGATCTCTATGCCATACTCTTAATGTTGGCACTTTACAGTTGTGATGGAAAGAACTCTTTTTAGCAATCTAGTATTTATTTTTATCTCTTCTTTCTCGATTCCATCATCAAGTTACAATCTGGATGCATTTATGACTACCAGATAAAGCACAGTAATAAAGCCTGTAATAGGGTTTAAATAATTTGCTATTGGATTATGCCAGTAATCAAAATCAACCTATCAGTCACATTTAATGATTGTGGATGTACTCTTGTTTGTGCTTTCCACAGCTTTGAGGAATGAATGCAGATAGTCCTCACGTTATATAGAGCAGGGCTTTTCAACCGGTGGTACGCATACCATCTGTGGTACATTAGCACATGGCAGGTGGTACGCGGCCCTGCCCAGCCAAGTGTAATGGAGGAGGGAACGAGCCAGTGCAGGGCAGGACTTACTGTGAGAGAGTCCTCCGGAGCTGCAGAGTGGCTGGGGCGAGGCAAAGGCCCCAGGCTCACTTCCAGCTCACCTGGAAGAGAAAGGAGGTGGAGGGGGGTGGAGATAGGAGAGGCTATAAAAGGGGGCAGTTTGGGCGGGAGAGGGAGAGAGAGAAAAAGAAGCAGCCTTGGGAGGAGGTGGAGTCAGCTCTAGCTGCACCGAAGAGAAAGGAGGAGGAGGAGGAGGAGGGTGGGAGGAGAGGAGATCAAGCAGGCCAGCCATGAGCCAATCTACAACTTCCATGGCACGGAGGGAGGGAGATGGAGAGTGGAAGGATTCTTATGTGCTTTTGTGACTTTGAAGTTCTGGGATTTGTGCAATGTGGGCTTTGTGTTCTTAAGGAGTGTTTGGCAATTTCTATTTGGCTGATGGCTGATGTCTCCTGTTAGCTTCTATTGCTCTGCTATTGTTAGCTGTAAGTTTTGCTGCAAGGGATTTTGAAGTGTTTTTCTCCTGAATGGATTTTGCCTGTAGCATTCCTTTACTTATGAATGGAGCCATTTGGGGAGGCTGCCTTAGCTGGCTGCCAGTACTTACCGGTACTACATTTTTTTCCTTAAGTGCTGGCTGCCGGCTCCTTAACTTTCCTTTCTAGCCAGTAGCTAATTCTTAAAAGGGAATGTGCCTTTTTAAGCTAGTTCCCTCAGTGGCTTGTCTTTTCTGTCTCTGGAGGCCTTTCCTTGTTTGATGAGTATATGGAAGATTTTAGGCACATGAAGCTCAAAAGAAGCACCTTGCAGGTAGGGAAATAGTTAATCATTAAATAATAGAATCTGTTAAAGCTATACTTTATAAGTAACAGAAGTTTGGAGGAGGGGGAGAGATCTGTTTTTATTTGTTTCAGATAAAATACATTTGTGTGATTAGCTTTATATATCTGAAAGACAAATCAGTCTTTCCTGTTTTGCAATACTACAAATAATAAAAAAAAAGAGTTTGCAAGACTGTCTTTGGGTGCTGGGGTTGGTCTGGCTGGATCCTGAGAATCGACTCTCAAGAGCACAAATTTGAGAGCAGATTTCCAACAATGGAATTGCATAGAATGACTTTGAATGCAGTTGGGATATGGCTTTGGGGCCAACTCCTCACATATGCAGTCATCTATTTGGCAAAATATTGTGGGAAAATATGCAAACTCTGCCTTGTACAAACAATCATGGAAGATTTCATCATGATAATAACATGTCTCTAACTGGAGTGGAAAAACAGGTATCGCATACTTGAAGATTAGTGGAACTGCAAAGTACCTCGGTGGATCCTAGGCCTACTCTTCTGTATAAATCTTATGTTAGCTATTAGAACAGTTGGCCAAGAAATCTATCATCAGTACTGCCACATGCTGAAAAAGGAGTGTGGGCATTGAGGAAAGCTATTCTACTGATGGCTTATGTAGATGGAGTAGGCAAAATCTCTATGACTACGCTGTCTTGAACTGCCACTTCTGTGACTAGTGGAATGAAATACAGGACACACACATTTCACTTTTTGATGTTGAGCCAAAGTAGCAAAAGTGGCTTGGTAACATTCCAATTGTTCAGATACAAAACCATCGTTAAATTATCCAAAATTTCTACCAGGCTTGAATTTCTGAAATGTTTTTGTATTTGAATCACGTTTTATAGCGAGTGCTTGTTTTTGCAAAACATCTGGCAGAGAATGGATTAAAATTTATGACTAGGATTGCCAGAAAAGTTGTCTGGGAAATAGTAGATGAATTCTGCTAAGTCTTCTGCAAGACAGTCCATGTGAAACACAATTTTGCCCTACACATCTTTATATTTACGTACATTATGATAAAAACATGGAAAGTTGGTCATCTCCAGGGCTTTTTTTCTCATAGAACGCCCAGAACGGAGTTCTGGGATCTTTTTTGGATGGAACCTTGCAGGGTAGGCAAGGCAGGTTGTATGACATGTGTGAGTTCCGGCACCTTTTTTTTTTTTAGAAAAAAAGCACTGGTCATCTCAGTTCACATTCAGTATTTTCAAAACTGGATTTTTCCTCCCATAACTACTTTTTGTGAGTTTGCGTTTGGTTTCACATTTGTAAGGTTTTCCATACAATTTTAAATGGAAGTCATTTAGATTCAAGAATGTCCATCGTATGTGCCAGTGAAAGGTTTAATCTGTGGACACATCAGACAACCCTTACGGAAAAACATCTGTTTCACCATTCAGTTCAAATAATCTGAAAACCAGGAATTATGTGAAACAAGTTTTTTTAATGATTTACTTCCAAATACATGTAAAAAGCTGCAAAATATTGCTTAATTTAAAGCATTTCACAAAACTAATACTTTTAATAATCAAGTTCAACAAATAACTTAGATAATCTGGAACAACTGGATCAGCCAACTCTTGTCTTTATATAAAATGAATTGAGATTAAAACTTCTTTTTCTTTTACCAATATGACAAACCCAGAGCAACAGCTAAGCACTATTGGCCTACCGCTTGGGCACACCTCTTATGAATTTTTTTCATTAAAAAAAAAACAAATTAAAAACTTCAGAAGTTATTTTATCAGTTGAAGCCTTTGATTTGGTTAGTTATCTTTGAGAAAGTTATTGACAAGCAATTGCACTATGAATGAATGAAATGTATACAGTGTCAACATTGTGCTACATCAATCCTATAGCATCCTACTGCATTGTGAAGAAAGAAGTTGCCAGTTCGTCCATTGGTTTAAATTTAAAATGTTTCACCAAGTCATTGATGTAACATTTTACAGATCTGTAATAGGTTTTTCTTGTTTTCAGCATCTAGCCCAAATAATATCAGATGTTTTCAAGTTTAGACTTTCTTCTAAATTGGGTACTTTGGCTTTATCAGTGAGAGTTCGTGAGAGGCTATTTCTCTGGCAAATGCTTGACTAAAAGCTCCAGGGGAATCAAGTTTGTGTCTTTCATATTTTGAGATATAGCACCAACACATTCCTTTGGCTTGTATTCTTTTGGCAAAGGCTGTGATTTCTGGTAAACTATCGCTCAAAATGGTTACTTCTCATGGTTTTACTGTGTGCTATGCTTTGAGGATAGCCAATCCTATTTTTGTCCATGACATGAAACCATATTACAGGTAATCCTCAAGGTATGACAGGCCATTTAATGAACATTTGAAATTACGAAAGATTCCCCCCAAAGCTACATATGACCATTTCAAACTTAAGGACAGATGCAGCGAGCCTACGACCCTCAACAGAGTTGCTGCAGTGCCCCCACCACCTCTCCCACCCCACCCCGCCAGAACCCTGCAGCACTTGGCCCTCCTCCCCAATCACCCATCACGCCCCACACTTACCTTCTGAAACTCTCCAGACAGGTTGTGGAAGGTGGCAGGCCATGAACCTTCGGCTACACAGTGACAATCCAAATGCAGCTACCATTTTGTCCCATCCATTTATGGGCGGAACAAAATGGCCAACGCCAGTGAAATTGCTTCATTTTACTGCCTTACAGAAGTCTGCAGTGCGGCAGAAGCTTCTTAACAATACAGAAAGCTTCTGAAGCTCTGTGCAGAGCGTGTTAAGGCAGCAAAACAAAGCAGTTTGTCCCCCAGCTGTGTGGCAGCGACCTGAACCCAACCGCCATTTTATGGGAAGGACAAAATGGCAGCTGCTTTCGGAACCCTACCATGTGGCTGCACAAAGAAGGAAGCCATTCCAGCACTCTGGAAGGCCTTGGAGCCTTCAAAAGGTAGGTGAGGAGAAGGGTGTTTGGCCTGGTGGGGTGGAAATCAGGCCTAAGGCCTGGGAAGACCCGGTGCATGTAGGAAAAATCCCTCTTGGGACCCAAAGTGTGGGAAGTGAAGCACAGGGCGTCTCAGGAGTGGGAGAAGCCTTGAGAGGGCCAGGCAGGCTGGCTTGCGTCTGTACAGGTAGTCCCCGACTTACAACAGTTTATTTAGTGACTGTTCAAACTAACAACTGCACTGAAAAAAGTGATTTATGACCATTTTTCACACTTACAACCTTTGATCATGATCATGTACTCAAAATTCAAATGCTTGACAACCGGTTCATACTTATGATCATTGCTGTATCCTAAGGTCATGTGATCACCTTTTGCAACCTTTTGACAAGCAAAACCAATGGGGAAGCCAGATTCACTTAACAACCGTGTTACTAACTTAGCAACTGCAGCGATTCACTTAACAGCTGTGGCAAGAAAGGTTGTAAAATGGGGCAAAACTCATTTAGCAAATGTCTCACTTAACAACAGAAATGTTTGGCTCAATTGTAGTTGTATGTCAAGGACTACCTGTACAAGGCCTCCAATGGCCTCCCCTTCCCAGCTCCATTTAACGACCCACATGTTTGTTTTACATTTCATTGGGGAGAGTAGGGATGCGAAGGGTCATTAGGTGACGTGTTTTACGTAACGACTGCCCCAATATGCAGCTGTGATGGTAAGGCTCCGTTATGGTCGTATCTCAAGAACAAGCTGTATTAAAATCTTCAGTGTACTTCTTTTTCCTAATTGCAGCTACATATAGTTCATACTTCGTTAATATATGCAAGTGAATGTACCTCAGTATTGCTGTTTACTACTATTAGATATGCATGTTATGCTTTATATTTTATATCCCATTATGTGTCATCTGATAAAATCAGTCTCAATCAGTCCCAAATATTAATAAACATGTTAGAAAAACTGAGAATCAACTTTCTAAATGCTTTTTCTTTCTAAAAAATCTCCTACCCCTTCTTAGAATTTGTTCATATCCTTTGGGGGGGGCAGTTTAGGAACTCGTACAGTTGGCAATTTAGCTCAAAGTACTTTAAAATGCACTACTACTACTACAGTAGTACACCCAGATTATTCTTTCTCATAATGTAGAGTGGCTGCCACAAAGATAATACTTTCAAAAGATAGCAGTTAAAAGAATTTGGATGACTTGTCTCTTTCCAGGTGGTGCCAAAGCATGTGATGGAAGCATTGGTCAGGAAGTACATCACCGGCCACCTCTCATTTTTAACTTGCGGCGTGATATTCAAGAGCAAGAGCCGATGGACATTCACAGTGCTGAGTATCGTTCTGTCTTGCCATTAGTAAATAAGGCCTTTATGGATATTCTTCAGGATATTGCTTCAGACAATGTCTCTATAGCAGATTATTCTCATGATGCAGATGTGATCCCCTGCTGCAACCCCCAACACTTGGCCTGCAGATGTGAATCTGCTTATTCTAACTTATCTTTGGAAAAATGCTAAACAACTTCCAAATTAACAAACATCTGTCTTCCCAGAACTAGAAATCAAATGGGTGAAACTGCTACAGGAAGTACAACACTCTTGGTTTGGATTTTATATAATAATTTGTCATATCTTTCTACAGAATTTAGCTTGGCTCATAACTGAAATACGGGACTAAAATGTTTGGATGGCTATTTGATACCCCTTGATTAAGTCCAGCTCAGCTAGAACCCAACATCACAATGTTATGTCTCCTTGTCCCCTTTGCACATCACAGAAAAGCAGGCGTGGGGTTGTCAGGGCATAAGACAATTGCACAAACAGAAAGGCAGGAAAGAACTATATTGTTAAGATTGGAAATGTTTAGCAGAACCATGTGCATTTCATAAAGTCAGATTATAATCCAAGTACCTCAAAGAAAGTTTGGCATTGACTTGTAGTCAATCCCAGGCAGCAAATGCCATCTAAAGTTAGACAGTGTTAAATTTGAACAATTAAGACAGTTGTGATTTTTTGTAGTAATAGAATGTGGTTAAATTTTTTTTATCAACCATTTGACAATATTACATGTAACAGTTTCTTTTCACAGTCATTCAGGCTCATAATATATTTTATTTTTTTTAAAAAAAATTGTTCTCGCTGTTGATTTCCAAACTTGATCTGTGTTTGATTTTCCCTGAAAAGAATAATTGAGGCAAGGGAAATAGGTGGCCACTGTGTTGTAAACATAAAAAAAGGTTTCCATGATTTTACATGTGCAGCAATTTATCCATACAACTTAATCTGGACCGATAGCAAGGCTTTTCTTACTCTTTGCTTCACTTTGCTTCCTGAAAGGGAAGTGTATGAAGGGGGTTATGCATGCATTTATTTCCCAAGTTACACAAGAAGAAGGAACATGAGTGGAGACACAGCTCCTGTTAACCTCATGATTTTATTGACAAATATTTCAGCATTCCTCCAACTCTGGAAGTTGGGGAATTTCTTTTTATTCAAGTAGATAATTGCAAAAATATTCTGCATGGGTAAATTCTCATGCGTATACTGTACAAAGACATAAACCAGTAGGTTCTTTTATAGGTACATTTATACATGGCATAAATAAGAAAAGGGCTAGCTGGAGTATAAAATTCAGCTTCAATCAGATGCATTTATACTGTGGTTCTTGAGGAGAGAATAATGTGCATATACAGTACATTGATACCAACCATAGAGCATTTTAAGAAAATACACAAAAAGAGGGGCAGAATACATCAACTAGCAAAAGTGAAACATACTGTGTGAAAAGTACTGGAGCGTCTCTGGTTTGCCCCACGTTTGTGGGTTCTTCTACATTCCCCCTTGTTTTTCCAAACTACCTCCCATCCGCCGCTCTGTGTTGTGTTGCTTGCCTCTCCTCATGATCGCTTCATTTTGTTCGTCTGGCTTCCACGGCACAAGATTATCTACCAAAATCAAAACAGAACGGCCTTACTTTCCCTGGTCATGTGCGTTGAGCATGGAGTGTTGCAAACAGGCTTGAGATGCATGCAGAGGGAAGCGGCGGGGAGATGAAAGTCATGGCATCGTTTCACTTTTGGCAAAGCTGATGGGTTTCTGGGCCTCCCTTAGGGCTTTGTCCTCAATTGACAGAAAAGATCTGACTCAGAAATAAGTGTGTGTTGGAATCTAGACTCAAAATATATTCCTGCGTTAAACAATGGTTCCTGTATGTGTTTTGACTGCAAACGTACACACTGGAACATCTTGAAGAACCAGCTATTTAAACATGTAGAAAAAAAAGAAAGGCAACAGCTCAGCATACTGGCTAAAAGTAACATTTATAGTGTAGGTTTGTCACTCCAATGGCCATCATGAGAAGCTGTCAATAAGAGTACAAAACAGAGTTCTTGTAAGACACAGCAAGCCTTCTTGGCTCTTTGAAAAGTGTCTGATGCTACTGTTTTTCAAAATCTTAGTCACACTGTTGGTGCTTTACTTCACCAACTTTTGATCCTATTAGCAGTAATCCAAAATTTACATTCTGACATTACGAAGTCACAACTGACTCCAGCAAGAGAATATGGTACTACTGTTGCTATCCTTCTTATGCAACATAGTGTAGCACTGAACAGGCCCTGTACTCTAGAGTGTAAATTATTATTTCACAATCAAAAACTAGATGGCTCTCCTAAAGCATTCGTGTTTAAAGGCAGATCAAGACCTCAGTTTCCATAGTTGTTCCCATTTTCCATAGAGATTCAACAACTTTTATCATATCCAGAACGATTCCAAGTAGAGAATGATACATGCCATCATTTCTGTAATGACATGTTTATTGTATTGGTACACAATAAAAGACAAATAAGGCACATAAGGAAATGTGGTATATTAGTGGATTATGGATATCTGGTTAATAGTTAATTATTATTTATCCCATCTTGGTATCTTAGATCTGGTATGGTAAAATTAATTCAGCTCCTTTTGGCCTTGTGCACATCTCTGTAGTTTTCTTGGCAATAATATATATCCAGAATTTTTTTAAATTTATAGTTTCAGGTTTAGAGAATTCTTGGTGGTCTCTCCTCTTAATACAGTGCACATATGACCCTGCTTAGCTTTTTGAGATCAACTCAGACTGGCTATATCTTATCATCTAGCTCTGCCTTAGGCTAGGATTTTTGGGCAGATGAAATTACAGTAGATAGCCAAAAACGTTTGACAGCAGATAGTAGTAAGTTGGATCAGTCAGTGAATCTCTTATTTGTCTGTTTACATCTCACTTTTTGTTTTTATAAATAAATTCAAGATACCAAATATACACAATATTCCTTTCTCCTCCTATTTTCTCCCACATCAACAACCATCACCCTGTGAGTTGAGTTGAATTGAGAGAGAGTGACTGGTCCAAAGTCACCCAGTTGGCTTTCATGCCTAAGGGGGGACTGATATATGGTTCTTAAGAATTAAAAAAAACATATATATATATACAGTTCCTTCTCTGCTGGTAGAGAGCTCCTATAAAATACTGTACCTGGAATGTATGGGCAAGAGAACAAGTTGCACTGAAAATGGGTAGAGACTGCAATCCTTCAGTCTAGAATGTCTAAGGGCCCATCTTAAGGAATATTGGATTTGAAAATTTCTGTCTCTGATTTCAGGAGAGAAGCTATTAATGGGGGAGAAACCAATGGAAATAATTTATCCATCACTTCTGCTCTGCTGATAGAAACCTAGCAGGGCTTTAAAAACCTTTTAATTTTTGATGTTGAAGTGTTCCAAAAAGAAAGGTAGGATTACTTGGGTAAGAAATACAGAGATGTCTTAGAGGCTGTTTATTGAAGTCCCATGTTTCTATTTATTAAATTTAGATGCTATCCAACTCCCATCAACTCTGGGAGGTTTACAAAATGTTTTTTTTTTTAAACAGACAAAAAACAACATAAAACAAAAAAGAGCAAAGATGGCAAACCCAGATGGGGACAAAGAAAAAAAGAAAAGAAAAGGGGACTTGAATGACATTTGCCTCCTTTGCTGCTTTCTTTTCATTTTTTCTTCATTTTCACAGTTTACTTATTCTCTGAATAAGATACTTCATTACCACAATTTTATAGTGTATTAAGGATGGTTCATAAGTAGCACGGCAAAAACAAAGAATAAGAAAGCATGTCGGCCAATCAAATTACTATGATTTGAGAGGCACGACAAATGCTAAAGAAATGTAATCCACCCTCTTCTATAATGGCAGCCAACCGTAAAATAAAACACATGCTTAAAAACAAATGGAATAGCTTCTTAATGACCTGAACAATATTGCTGAGCACAATTAAAGCAATTGCTAATTAGAGCTACTGTATCTGGGCTGCAGAAATCTAGATTACAACTAGATGGGGTTTTTTTTTAAAGGTACAAATTTCATAATTTTATAATATATAAAACTGCAACACTAGTACCAAGCACAACAAAGACAGTGGTTATACAGTGAAGAACAAAAATCTAAATACTATATATGTTAATTAAAATTGGATAAATGTGAGTGAATGGCCACTGCATGGCAGCAAAGAGCTATTATGGACTTCGGTATCAGCTTGTTGCCAATTAATAGCCATCCTAAAATTTTACAGCCCAGATAGGACAGCTCTAGAAGCTCAGTAAATATGTATGCCCGTGTATTAATGTAAGAAATAAAAACTAGAAGAAAACAAATCATTTTTAAATATAATACTTTTTTTCCCCAGAATACTGGTCATGGCCATGATTACCTTTAGAAAAATTAAAAAAGAAGAAAACAAATAGAATTCCAAACTGGCTTAGCTACTAAGAAGTAGAGTGAAATATTTATCTCTGGCTTTCCTGTACAACTAGCAATAAATACCCAAATTGAGTGCCTTTGGTCTCCAGCTATAAGTATAATTTTCCACCTGCTGTAGCTTTAATGGAAAATATACGTGTGTCCATGCACAGACCTAGTGAGAAAAGAAACATGGGCCTGACTGTGCCATTACAGGTAGTCCTTAACTTACAACCATTCGTTTAAAGACCATTCAAAGTTACAACGGCCCTGAAAAAAGTGAATGGCCATTTTTCACACTTATAACCACTGCAGCATCCTCAGAGCCACCTGATCAAAATTCAGACACTTGGCAACTGGCTCATATTTACGATGGTTGCAAGTGTCCTGGAGTTATCTGATCACTTTTTGAGACTTTCTGACAAGCAAAGTGAATGGGGGAGGCCAGATTCAGTCAAAAACAACTGCAGTTAACAACCACAGTGATTCATTTAAAAACTGTGGCAAGAAAGGTCATAAACTGAGGCAAAACTCACTTAACAACTGTCTGGCTTAGCAATGGAAATTTTGGACTCTCGATTGTGGCCATACATCAAGGATTACCTGTATAGCAATCCTGTGTGCATCTGAAGAAGAAATCTTTGGGTCCAATGATGCCCTACAGAGCCACTCTTTTCAGAAGTTATAGAGAGTGGCATACTACATCCCGATTTTCCCTCCCAGTTTTAAGGGTCTTAAGGAACTATTGAGATGGTCAAGGCAGTGGCAGAAAGGGAAGAATGGAGAATAAATAACAGCAGAAGCAAGACAGATATCTAAGCAACTGTAGTATGGAGGTATCCAGGGCTTCCTGGCTACTTCCAATTAAAATCGCTTGAGAAGGAAGGGATCACCTGGGAGACTTTGTGCAACACTACTTCTAGGAAAGCTGCTCCCTCCCCACAATTCCATTGTATATTTAGGATTTTTCAGCCACCTCCATCTCATATAAAGAACAATCTGGAGCAGTCCCTGCTGTCAGGAAATTTATGCATCTTAGAAAAGGGGTTGTTAATTCTTAGGAACAAGAAAGCCTTGACTGAAAGGCCGGGCAAGATAGAAAAAAAAACATCCATAAGAAGGAAAAATGCTAGCCAATATAAATAGCCTATTTGAAAAATGTCTCCATGAAAAAAGTTTAAGTCCTCCCTTTTAAAGGTAAAGCAAGTAGAACTCTTCTTCCTTCTCCCATTATATTTTGGATAATGCACCTGCGTCAACAGAGAGAGAGAAGCTTTGAAGATACAGCGTCAAAGCTCAGAGTACTCTGGCATCTGCTGGGATTGCTGCTCCGTCTCTTTTTCCCTTGTGCTCCCTGACATTTTATTTACTTATTTATATTTCGTATTTGTTAACCGCCCATCTCCCTCAGAAATAGGTAGCCTCTTCTCCAGTAGCCCAGGCATGGCAGTAAAATCCCCAACCACTGCAACTACACAAGTGATGCTGGTGACATCTTTCCCCTGATCTTGCTACAAATATCCTCCACCCACTATGGAGAAAGAGTAGGGCAAAGGGCAACCTTGATGCTGCATCCATCAATCAAAGAACCACGGGATGTAGAAGATAAGGCAAGAGGAATCAAATGGAAAATACAAGCCTTCCTTTCAAATTTTTGAAACAGCAGCCCCTTGTTAAGTTTCTCTCCTTTTCTGGGCTTGTTTGGAGCCTCTTGGAAAGCAACAAGTGGGTCAAAGAGCCGCTTTGGCAACCAAAATGCATTCTCAGATCTGAACTAAACCCTGAAGACATCGTTATCTTGGAAGGATAGTTTTGTAAGGACTTTGTAAGGATGCCAGATGTGGCCTAGAAGTACCTGATGCTGCCGCATGGTTTGAACTTTGAAAGGCATGGAACTCAGCCCTCCCTTTAACTGGCAGCCCAGAGCCTTGTGTAATTTGGATTCACTATTAGAAATATACTTGGAAAACAGGTTTGTAGGCCTCACTCCAAAAGCCCATGGTGGGAGTCACACACCCCACACAGAGATGGCTACCAGGCAGGAGAGGAAGGGACAGATCGCCCGGAAGAAAAGATTTAAGCTTTTCTTCTCAGCACGAATTTCACAATGCTGTTTTAAGTATTCCTAATGCTCACAGGTGGAAATTCATTTTCGTCATCCAGGCATACTGGCCCAGTAGCAAATTCATGCTCAGGTATTATCTCTCCTCGAAGGGCTCCCCCATCTTCCGAGTAACCTGCAATATAAGAAGACAGCCTTTAAACTGAATGTTATAGATTTAGAATGCTTTTTACACAGGCATCCCTCATTCCACGTAAATTATTGGATGGCTAAAGAGCATCAAGAGGTGGTCTGTACGTGTCATTCAACTATCACAGCTGAAACATCACAATTAGGACTTTATTGTAAAAATCCTGGCTTCATGTGCAAATAATACATAGACACTCGCAGAGGTATCAAGGGATTTGCTAAGCCTGTGAACCACTTTTTCTACATTTTGTGAACAGAAATATTCAAAACTGATCATTACTTAGGGTTTAGTTACTCAAGTATCATATATAGAACATGATTTAGAATTTTCATGTGAACAAAACCGAACAACTGAATGCCAACTGCCACTGATTATATATTCATTTCATTTAGTGAGTTCCCTTGCTTTCAAACTATAGTATGGTCCATATCTCATCTTACAGCCTAAATTTAATATCCTCCCTTCCTATCCCTTGCACACTTTGATTACCTCTATAATTTTCTCATTTGGGCAACTTAATAGCCATTGCATTCGCAGAAGTAAAAAAGAGAAGGAACTGTACGTTTGTTAGCAAAATTCTTGAGATACAAGGCAAGATTGAGGAACATAATACAAAAGTTGGCATTTGACAATGATTATAATCTTCAGTGCACTTTATAGGTCTTCAAAGAGCTTTTGAGTTTTTCATATTAAACTTCCTCATACCCATTGTTATTTAAACTATGTTGTCCACTTTCAGTTATTTATACTTAAATAATAATAAATTATTTAAATACTTAAATAATTTATACTTAAAAATGTCTTAACAAAACCCTTCCCAGGCAAAAAGAAACAATTCTTGCACGTTATCAGCACAACAGAGGAAGATACTTAGGTTCCAGGATGATGTGTTCTCCCAAGCATAGGTTAATGCTTTCTACTTTTATTCTGGCAATGAGGACCTCTGTAGCTCTACTTAGCAAAATGTTGCCTGGAGCTATGCTGGAGTGGAACAAATTCCAGAGAGATGTTTGTAATGTATCCAAGTTTAAAATGTTTTCAGTCTCTTAAGAATTGCTCAGAGATGGTAAAGCAGGGATCCCTAACCCCTGGTCTGTGGACCAGTACCGGGCCGCCACATGCCAGCAACCTGTCTGCACAAACAAAGCCCCATCCGCGGGATACAGGCAGTACATAAAACCACGCCCCCTCCAGTCCACCGAAGAACCTCTCGCCACATAACCGGTCCCTGATGCCCAAAAGGTTGGGGACCTCTGTGGTAAAGGACCACAAAAGGCTTCCAACTCCCATTATGTAAAAACATATGATACTGAAGCACATTGGAAAGTGAGGCAGGTACAGTAATCAGGCAGTTGTAGGGGCAAGGACCAAGAATGATTCCGAGAAAGGTGAGCAGAGATGCAGATCCTGCTGGCCATATCAAAGACTTGGGCATAGCTCCTGATGTTTCCTGCAAATATTGATACCCACTGCTAGTACTCCACATGACTCCAGAGAGACGATGTATTATAAAGGTAACTTCCATGTCACCATATACTCTTTCAGTTAGCGCTGACCTATATGTCATTTTGCCTGACCTCCACACCATTTCTTTGATTTCTTGTTTATTCCTTGGTTCTTCCTTTTTTTATTTTTGCCAGCTTTGCCTCTATTCACTGAATGGGTGGGTGATGGATCACAGAAGGGGTAAACCATATTTCTCACCCCATTTCAGCAATTTATCTGAAAAAATAAAGGGCTACAAATATGTCACAGGGAATTTTGTTCAGGATTCCCCCTCCCCTTTAGTGATTTTTTGCTAAGAATGGCTGGGGGAAGATTAAGAGTAGATGCAAAAGTCTGCGTGTAAGAGAAATATTAGTGTATACTGTAAGCAAGTGTGTGTGACAATACAGCAAAAGGCAATTTGGAGATGGACAGTTGTTTAGAATTGCCCAGCTTCCTGTGCCTTGTGTTAGTGGGTTCAAAATACATATTTTTCCCTACACACATCTCTCTTATGCTGAGGTTTGAGTAGAAAGTCTTCTGGGAGAGGACAATTTGGCATAAACAGCAATGGACGAAATGCTGCTCGGCTATTCAAAATTCAGCAAAATCCATTTGGAAGGAAAAATGTTAGGATTACTATATGGTATGTGATCAGAAGAATTAAAAATGAGATTTCCAAGTATACATCAAATAATTAAATTCTACAAACTATAATGCAACATCAAGAAATCCGTGGATGGGAAGTTGTTTGCCACTGTATTACTTTTTATCTTACGGCAAGAGAACATAATTAAAAAATGTCTTCCTGTTCATTTTGGCTCTTTCTAGAGTTGTATAATTGTTCTTATTTACATACACTCATATATACAAACAACATACATAACCTACCAGTATCTACTTTTACTAAAGTTAATATATATTCTTGTTTTATGGAAGCTTGAAATTGTTAAGACACTGAAATCAATATCATGATCGATTTCCCTTCATGTTTCTGCCATGAGTACACAGCCTTAATTTTATATTATGTATCATACATAGTCTGGCCAAATTATTTTGTGTCCTATCAAAATATATAGCAAATTTGGTTCTCGCAAAAGAATTAGCAAAGCATGAAGAGAAGTTTTAGTGTCTTTGGTCTGTGCTGAATTCAGCATAAATTTCAATAATACCAATACCGTGTACGGTATAGGACAGTGCCAAAGACATCATCAAAGTAATACAGTATATATTTTTCATAATAATATAAAAAAACGACACATAGAAACTCACAAATACGTAGTAGTGAACAATTCTAACATGACTAAAATGAGCAACTCGCAGCTTGCTGTAAATCTGGTACTGACCTGGCATCATAGAAGGGGAAGGCACTGAAGTCTGCCTAGCTACGGTAGCAGCATAGGTTTGAGTTGCTGGAGACAGGAGATCATTTTCTTTGTTCTCTTCTGGCTTTACCAAGTCAAGCAAGCTAAAAGAATGTGGGCCAGGGAGAAGGTTGAAATAAAGGCAAGTCATTACCTAGTAACTCCAACAAGTAATTGTACTGTTATTTGTTGCATAAGCTGGACTTAACAGAGATGGAGGTTTTGTGCCATCTCCGGCCCATAAGGATGCATTGTTTGGCAAGCCAAACGGACAGAGATACTGTAATGCTTTTATGCAGAATACAGTTGCAGCTTGAAATCTTCAAAGATGCTTGGGAGACAAGAAGGGAAGGTGTTTATGTCTGTGGAGATTCTTGGTCATCCAGGTGCTTTTCAAAAGGGAACTGGACTTTCTTGATTTTTTTTTTTCCTTGAAGACGTTTTGCTTCTCATCCAAGAAGCTTCTTCAGTCCTGACTGAATGGTGGGGAATGGAAGGATTTGGAATGGAAAGAATGCAAAGAATATAAATCGTTCCATTCCCTACCTTTTGAAAAGCACCTTTGTGAAAGATGTTTATGCTGATATAAAGTTATTGCCAAGACATCTGAAGAGGATCAAGACTACAACAGATGTCATGGCAAAATTTATTTGTTTAAATAGAAAACAGTATCTCTTCTATGTACTTTTAACCAAAATTTTATCCTACCCTCGGTCCTTCAACTAAATCCTAAAAGTGACACACAATGCAATATCCCCAGAGAACAATTTTAAACTTCATGCAACAAGTTAATCAAAGACGAAATAAAGTTTTGCAGGTATTCACAATATGCATACACTCATGGCCAGGCATGGGAGCACTGATTAGCATCTAAATCAGATGGCTCTGCCAGAGTAGAGCACAGCTACAATCTATGCCACAGAAGTGTAAGAATGTAATTAACAGTTAATGTAATTCTTAGAATATTTCCGTTCCAGGTCGGGGGGCTTTGCATTGTTGATGACATGAAACGGACATATTGTCAACCTCAACAGTTACTAAATTAAAAAAAATTAATATAGCACAAATTAGGTCTATATGTTTCTTCTGGGTGCTCAGGCACCCAATTTATCTCCTTGCAAGTGCTCTTATGGTTCCTTTCCTGCATTCATTTTCCCTTCAACGTATGTTTCCCTTGGGCTGCACTTTGGAGCTGTCTTATTCTATCTATCAAAATATAACTGGAGAGACTTTTCTTTCTATACGGAATTCTGTTTCTCTGAGTGATGGCCTGTGGACTTTTTATATTCTACAGCAGCATTCAGTTCTATCATCTGATAATTTTCACTTCACTTCTCTTTCACTTTTACATGCTCCAGCATAATTGTACATATTTTTTGTGAATGACCCTTATGAAAAGATTGTTACACATTCAAAGCATGATTTTTCTCCTTAATATCCTGTTTTATAAACAAAAGCGACGACTGCTGATGGAAATCTGTTATATGTATACAGCGTACACAATCCCTTTTAAGTTATTGTACATTTTCTTTATTTTCTCTACATTTTCTTTGAATTCTTGAAACAACTAAGCTGTTACCTGTGCTTCTTAATTAAAACACATTCTCCACCATCTTGGGGATCCAGGTTGTAGATGTAAAGATGTCCACCAGATGTTGTAACTAAGAGCCGAGGCAACTTTTGGATCCTAATAAAAAATGTACAGGAACACAGCTGAAACAACCTCTAAATAGGCTGTGCCATTTGCCGCCGCTGGATTTCCTGGAAAATGGATTTGTAAGGTGAAGATGCTTATGGGAGAGATTTGGCAGCCAAATTTGGCCTATTCCTCTGATTTTAGAGTAAAACAACTACTATAGTATTTTAATTAATAGTAGGAAATATACATGGGGATAAAAAATCTAGATACATTATATGCAGGCATAAACATATGATTTTGAATCTATTATAAGTCTATATTAGTCACACTAATATAGGTTTCCCCCTAAATAAAGCTGTATTATCAACATGTATGTGATGCAGTTGTTGGAATAGAGCAAAATTCACTTCTTTACTAACCAATCTACTTCATGTAATTCTATTATTTGTCATGAAATCCAAAGCTTACTTCTAAAACAATGTGCCATACAGTATTTTCTTCTCCCTTTGAGATTTGGCCCAATGTTAATTTAAAAAAAAAATCTCTTGCAGCTCTGGGTCATGAAACAATAGCTATAAATGGCATGACCTATATTAATTAATATGCTCTTAGTCATCCCTTAAATGTGAGAAAGATGTCCAGAGATTTGGTTCAGGAGATACTTGGAGGGCAATGCAGAATATTTAGCATAATAAAATCCGTTTTGCCTTGCATATAGGATACAGCCAGCCTTATTGCAAATGTTATCAATGTAGGATGTATATCAATGCAGAGGAGAAAGTTTTGCATTTTGTGAGGTTTGAAGTCTCTGTCTGCATATGTCAGAACTGGGTAAACCATGATCTGCAGACTGCTTCTGTACTCTTATACATCCCCAGGGAGTTGCCACTTTCCCTCAGATATTGCCCAACAGATCAGCAATAAGCTGACTAGGGAGGAATAAAAAAAATAAAATCTATGGGGAAATGCCTCTTCCTTTGATAATTTGCAGAAGAGTAACTTCGATCAACCTAATGGACAATCAAATCAGAATCAGAAAAAGATTAACATGAGCCACTTTGCAGCGAGATGGGTGGCAAACAAAGAATGAATGAACGAACGAATGAATGATATTGGAATAAGATTTCCCAAGGCAGAAGATATATAAAAATAGAGAGTAAATACAAATGGCATGGTATTTATGAGGTGGGCTGGATTAAAACTGTATGGACATTTACCTGAAGTGCCTAGAATCAAAATATGTACCACTGGTTCACAGAATGTGGGAACCGTGAACCAATGCAAACTGCTTAATAGAATATGTTGATTATATTACATCATTTCAGTATCCAGTCTTAGCAACCATAATGTTCAGAAACTATCTTCCTAAGCTCAAAGATTTACAGTAATAGTGATTGTGGCCATGAGATAAAGAAACACCTGTTACTAGGGAGAAAGACATGAAAAAAATGAATGTTTTAGCCTTCCTCAACACTATTTGATTCGCTCCGCATCGTACCATTGATGAAACATTTCCACTGGAGCCAGGGTGCCTCTCCTAAATAAAATAGTTTGTCCAACACAAAGGAAGGCAATCTTGTTTGGCTGCTGTAGCCCAGCTTACGTACGTGGACAGCACACAGATGTTCCTTTGTCCAGAAAAGTTCAGGCGCACGGTAGCAAAGGCCCGGTCTTGGCTCATCATGCCTGATACTTGAGAAGGGAGGTAGTTGGTGGCAGCCATGAACATCTTGCCCATGTAGCCACTCCAGGAGGGAGGTTCTTCTGGCCGACTAAGACAAACAAAATACCAGATTACAACATTCTATTCCAGGAACTTCCATACAATATAAAAGCAACAAGGTCTTCACTTCCTAAAACCTAAAGCATGTAATTTCATTATCACTCCTCATTAAACTTCTCTGTTTCCCCTTCACTTCACCACTTCAGAGATGGGGACCCTCAGATGTTCCTAATCTATCTATATAAATAAAAATGTAAATGTTCGTTTGTTCAAAATCTTAAATCTCCGAAAGTTCTTCACCGATTGCTTTGAAATTTTGATACGACGTTGCATTCGAATACGCGCGTCCAGCTTGAACTCCAGTCCATCACTTTGATATTCCTAGCTCCCCTAATTGATCCCTCAACTTGGTATACAACTGCTTTTACAAACCCAAACAAATCCATTTCTGTACCACAATTGTACCTCATTGTGTGGCTTCACAAGTGTTAGAACTACAGATGCCAGTAGTGCCATTTGCAGTCAGCCATTGGAAAAGAGTCAGCTTGAACACATAACCACCCAAAACCCCTGGAATCAATTGGCAATATGTTGAATATGAACAATCCATGTTTTCCATTTTGCCAACAGGCTTTCTGGGATGGTCAAATTTGCTGCCAAATCAAAGCCTGAATGATCCACATAGAAAAACATTTGTAGCCAGTTAGAGTAATTCTCCCAATAAGTAAACCTTAGTTGTAAGCAGATCTACTCTGTGGAGTATTTTTCTCAGCTTCCATCTACAAGAACCTATCAAGAGAGACTTTCCTTGATACAGCTCAGTTCTCAATGGCACATGTACAGCATCATTTTGATACCCACCTGTCGGTGAGATGCTCCAACTTAAAGATATGCACTGTCTCAGTATTGCTTGATGCACACAAGAACTGGGAATCCATACTGAACACAAGGGAGCTGATGTTCACATACCTAAAGTGAAGGGAAGAAAGAACCCAGACAACTTAACTGGAATAGGAAAAGTAATAGACTGGCCCAAATAAACAAGCCTGAGAGATTCTTGTAGGATGGAAAAACTTTTTTTTAAAATCCCCTGAAGGTTTTATTAGCAAGGATATAGCATTGAGAATATTGCAACCGGATTCTAATCCATTGTTAGCCGTTGGATATTTTCTGGATGAAATTGGACTAATCACTCACTCTCAATTAAACCTATCTCATAGGATTACTGTTGCGGAGAACATGGGAGGTGTGTGCACTATGTAAATTACTCTGAACTCTTAAATGAAAGGCAGGATGGAGCTGTGTTTTTATTTCTGTGGGTGTTTCTGCATAAGACTATCCCAAAGTCTTACTACTTTAGAATAAGAAAAATAATACACAATGTATCATTGAAAAGTTTTCTCTTCAAGGCCTTCCAAAAGTGGGGCCATCCTAATCTCAGGAGGGGGGTACTCTAGAGCATGGGTCCCCAATCCCTGGTCCGTGGACCACTACCGGGCTGCGGCATGCCAGCAACCGGTCCGCATAAATAAGCAAAGCCCCAACCGCGGGATGCAGGAAGCAAACAAAACCACGCATCCTCCAGTCCGCGGAAAAACCTCTCTTCATGGAACCGGTCCCTAGTGCCCAAAAGGTTGGGGAACCTCTGCTCTAGAGGGCAGGAGCTACAGCAGAAAAGCAACATCCCCTGGTCCCTGCCAACCAAATGTTTTGACCGATGGGGCCTGGAGCATGCCCATCCAGCTGGACCAGATTGGAGAGACAGAAACAACTGGAAGAAGGTGACCCCTCAGGTAACCTGCTCCCGGGCCATGAGGGGCTTTAGAGATGATGACCATACATGGAATTGCAACTAGAAAAATACTGGCAACCAAAGTAGTGATGTTACATGCGCAGAATAGCTGACACCATTTTACAACCCGTGCAACTGCATTCTATGTCATCTGAAGCTTCTAAATGCTTCCCAAAGGCAGCCCCACATAGAGCTCATATGCTGCCGTAGTTTGCCCTTTTTCCTCAGGGATTGGTTCCACTCAGTTTGACAGAAGGGGAGACACTTTAGCTGCTGCCCCTCACTTGCGGGTTGCTTGAGGCTTTGATGCTCTCACTCTACCTCTTTAACATCCACACGAAGCTACTGGGTGAGCCCTGGATTCTGCAGGTAAGTCTGTCAGTGTATTGAGCCAGGGTATGAAGGCTGCTCAAGTCTGGATGAGGAAAATCTTCAGCTCAAGACTGAATGGCTGTAACTGGACCTCTGGGTCTGGGATGCTTTCACCATTGCATTTCCCATTTGAGACTAGCGTGCAACTTGGGAGTCCATCTGGACTCGCAGCTATAGCTTGAAGAGCAGATGGAAATTGTGACCAGGAGAGTTTTGCACAGGTTCACCTTGTATCCTAGCTACACCCTTTCCTTGATCACAAGGCCCTTCAGATGGTCGCTTATGACCTAATCATCTCACAGCTGGGATTATTGCAATGCACCTTACATATGGCTGCCCTTGAAAACAATTTGGAGGCTATAGCTCAGTGATGGCGAACCTTTTAGAGACTGAGTGCCCAAAAACCACCCCTGCTCCGCCCCATCCCACCCACTCTGTCCCCGCCCCCAGCCTGCTCCGCCCCCACCCCGCCCACCCGCAGGGCCACTCACCACCTCCACGACCCACCGCAGATCGCCCAGGCGGCCCAGCAGCGCCATGGCGGCCATGCCCTCCGCCCACACCCTGCAGCATCATCTGTGTGCAATGGAGTGCGAGAGCGGAGTCTTGTTCCAGCTGCCCAGCTCCATGTGCTCGGCTGCGCTGCTCCGCGTGGGCCGCGCTCAGGCGACTCTCCTCTGGGGGGGCTGCTGGTGAGTAGGGGGCCACAGGGGAAGGCGGGGCTGGGGCAACAGCACGTGTACCCATAGAGAGGGCTCCGAGTGCCGCCTCTGGCATGCATGCCATAGGATCGCCACCACTGGTATAGCTGGTCCAAAATACAGTGAGTCCAAACTGTGATCCTGTGACCCATGGAGACGCTGCAACAGTTGTTAATTGTGAAAAAAAGTCGGAAGTCACTTTTTCCAGTGCTGTTATAATTTTGACTGGTCACTAAATGAATGTTTGCAAGTTGAGGACTACCTGTATATGTTTTTAAATATTCTAAACTGCCCACTTGAAAGAACAGGTTAGGGATAGATCATCACGGAGAAATCTATATGGTCACTAGGAGTCAAAAATGACTTGGTGGCAGGTATCAATCAATGAAGCAGCTCAGAATATTTTTGGAGTTAGGCAGCCTCAGAATCCAATAAAATCAATAACCTGTTATTTCAAGTGAAATACTGGCATAAGAACAACAGACCAACCTCTTCATTCCTCTCCTGAATTCATACAGCTTTTGTCCTTCAGGGATGGAAAAAACACGAAAGACGGTTCCCTGGAAGGAAAGACAAGAGGACACAAAAGTAAGAGACTATCGCGTGAAAAGGAATAGCAGTGTTTTGCTTTTGGAAAGGAGATACTACCATCTTTTCTACTTTGCATGGATAACAATCTTGTAGCAAGGAGCAGAAAAGTTGGATTATCAGAGAGACTAGTAGAGATTCTACCAGATTAGATCCACTTTAAGGTCATAGAAGAGGCTTTTTATAGTTATGAAATAAGTGGATTAAAGCTAACAGATGCTCAAGTCAACTATTTTGTTGTTTTTTAACAGAAAATGCACCAAATTTCCACAATGGGAAACTGGAGAATCACAGAACTACATGGAAACCACAACCACACTTACTACACAGCAAAGTAGAATGAATTAAAAGATCCTCAGTGGCAGAAAAAGGGGTGGTCTTACTCCAAATACTTATGTTTTCTCTATCTGTCCTTTCCCCCCTTCTTCCTAGCCATCCTCCTACATCTCCATCTGTCCCGTTTTCTAATTTGTAAGTTTCTTAATAGGGTCTAACAATAATAATGATTTTTTTTTTAAATTATCCTAGGAACAATTATAGGTAGGTATCAGAGCAAAGTCCATCCTAAATAAGCACACAAATAAATGGATGATTTACTTTTAGCTAATGCCCCAGAACATTATTAGAAAGCAGTTGTCTCTAGAATTTACATCTGAGGAAATATTGTTTAGGATGAAGCAATGTTTGCTTAGGTTGGGTGGCTACTAGTTGGGTCATAACATGCGGTCTTAGAACAAGGACTTCTGATCTCTATGAGATTTGTTCCTGAGCATGTATGACCTGAATGACAAAGATTCAACCTATTTCTAGGTGTATGACCCAGCTAGTAGATAGAGGTAAATGTACAACTAGAAGTAGAGTGATTACTCTGATAGCAGCCTTTAAAAAACTGAAAGGTCAAAACTGTTCTCCTTTCTGAACACTGGACACAGAAAAATGAAGTTAGAGGAAGGCTGATTTCAGTCAAACAGATTCTTAAGAATAGTTTGACAGTGAAATTAATTACTGGAAAAGGTGATAGGCTCTTCCTTCATTGGAAGAGGTCAAGAGATACATTTGTTTGGAATGCTTTAAATGTGAACTCCCATACTGAGAAGAAGGTTGGAAACGGTGGCCTATATAGGCCCTACAAGTTAAACAATTCTAGACCCTTTTCCTGCTATTTCATCAAAAGTTCTTTTGATAAAAACTTTTTCATCAAAAAGTTTTTCACTCCTCTGGGTTCTAAACAGTCTCTTGAATGACTAAGCACTCCAAATGAATGGGACTTTTGGACAGACATCTCTTCAGGTCACGTTCATAAAGGCTATCGGATTTAATTAAGATAACAAAAATGTTGGAAAGGTGGAGGAGAACAAATTGAAAATCTAGAGCACTAGACTACATTTTTGTCCTATGCTGAAGGTAAGGCAAGACAGCATTAATCTAAGAGAGAAAAACTAAAGACAGAAAAAACTAAGTGATATGGAGAGGAAAAAACAAAAAAGAATCAAGAGGGGAAAAAACCTAAATGAATGAATACATTTTTGTCCTAGGCTGAAGGGAAAGTGAGGCAGCATAAACGTAAGAGAGGGAAAAAAACTAAATGAAATTTTATTTATTTAAAACATGTATGTACCTGCCTATCTTATAGCCATCTCTCGGCAGCTTCCCATAAAGCTTTTACTACAGGTGGAAAAAAGATATCCAACAGAATCAAATGATAATCCAAATGCTTGTCTTCTTTAGTCCATTTCCTCTGAGAAAACAAGATCTACTTGTTAATCTCCCAACACATTGTTGACTTACCTTTTCAGAAGCACTTGCTAGTTTTGAACCTGTAGAGTTGAAAGCCAAGGCTGCGAGGGGTCCTTCATGGGCAGAAATAGAACAAACATCTCTCTGTTAAGAAGGGGGAAATTAAACTATGATTATAGTAACTAAAATATATTTCAGCCCACCAAAGTACAAGAGACAATAAAGTAAAAAATACATTGCAGGATCCAATTAGGGTCTGTCACCAGGACCATAACATTATGGTTCTGACAGAGACGAATAAAGCAGATCTCCGAGGCTTGCAAATTCCTCAAAGAACATATTTATTAGTTACAAAGTATCAGCAAGTCAAAAGTGAAACCAAGTCTGGAGACAAGGTAACAATTCCCCAATACAAAGTTTAAAAATCCCACCACCAAAGCTGTGCAAGCAACTACGTTCCCCAATACATCTTCTTGGCGGGCTTTTTACGCAACACCTAGCCTGCAGTCTCGGGAGCAGCCAATGACCTTGGTTCCCATGGGATAAAAGTTTATATACTAGCGAAGCACCTGGCAACCCCCCCCTCCATTCTATGTGGCAACCGAAAATGAATAGGGAAAATGGCTGCAGCCATGCTCATTTGTAGAGTTGACACATAGGTTTTGTCTTCTGAGCTTTCAGAAGCTCAGAACCCATCCTCAGAGAACTTCTCTCTAGCAATGTGTGCTATTCTGTGTGTGGTATTTACTGTATATGGTGTTGTATGTGGCTTTTTAGATGTTGATTGGGGTGTTGATGGCAAGCTATTAAGTCGGCTGTTGTTTGCTTGTGCTGCCCAGCCCTCACATTTGAAGTACTTGATAAGCTGGTGCTAAATCAGCATTCCTGTTGACGAGGGAGTGTTTCTTAGGCTTCCATCACTTCCCTAGCTGTTTTTGTGCTTGCTCGTCCAACAATCTTAGTAGCTGCAAAATTGAATGTATGTCCTTGTTCATTGCAATGTGAGGCTACCAATGAGTTCAGGTCTCCTCATCTGACCACTTGCTTGTGTTCTTGCAATCTGATGGTTAGCTTCCTCCCAGTCTGTCCTACCTAGTCACAGGGGCAATCCATGTAGGGGATTTGGTAATTACATTGGAAGTATCTTCCACCTCCACGCGATCTTTACAATACATAATTTCTCCTCGTATGCTAGCCTCTGGGTGGTGTCTGATGCCCACTTGCAGATCTCGGAAGCTGTGTTCTACCGCATCCAAAATATTTTTGATATATGACAGGGTGGTTGGTCTTGTACTTTGTCTTCCTTTCCCTCCCCACGGTATTGCACAGACATCTTGTAACAAATGATTGTGGGTACCCATGCTGCTTGAATTGTTCATGTAGATACCTGCTCTCCTGCTGTTTGGACTTTTGGGTACTACAGTGGGTTCTCATCCTGCCATATAGTGTTCTGATGCAACTAAGGAGAAACTTCCTGACAGTTAGAACAATTAACCAGTGGAACAACCTGCCTCCAGAAGCGGTGAACGCGCCAACACTGGAAGTTTTTAAGAAGAAACTGGACAGCCATTTGTCCGAAATGGTATAGGGTTTCCTGCCTGAGCAGGGGGTTGGACTAGATGACCTCCAAGGTCCCTTCCAACTTTATTATTATTATTAACTCTTTTTGTGTGACAGTGGATGGTTGCTGTTGAAATTCAGAATGTGTCAAGTGTTGGTGGCCTTGCAATAAACTGTGTTTTCTAGGCTTCCATCCTCTTGTCTGTTGACAAGTGCATCTAAAAATGGTAATTGCTTAGCTGTTTCTTCGTCCAATTGTGAACTGTATGTCTGGGAAGATGGAGTTCAGTATGGTATGAAAGTCTTTAAGTGCATTTCTCTTGATGATGACAAACGTGTCATCCACATAATGGCACCAAAATTTAGGTTCTGAAATTCATGGTGTTCAAGCAGGACTGTTTCTGCAATGACTCCTGATATTGGGGATCCTATTTGGTGTCCTTTTTATTTGTTTGTACATTTCCCGTGCCTGGGAAACGGTCCCGTCAGTCAACAGAAATGCTGATTTACCACCAGCTTATTCATTACTTCGGATGTGAGGGCCGGGCAGCACAAGCAAATGACAGCCAACAACTTAACAGCCAGCTATCAACAGCCCAATCAACATCTAAAAAGCCACATACAACAGGCACTATATAAATATCACACACAGAACAGCACACACTCTACTAGAGAGAGGTTCCCTGAAGATGGGCTCCAGTACAAGTCCGAAAGCTCTGGTCCCAGTGACTGGCCCAGATTGGATCCCGCAACATTATCCTGGGACACATATATTCGTAAAAAAAATGCATGGCCTATCTAACATTATGATACAGGTATATGCAAAATGTACGGTGTGTGGAACCAGGTATAAAACAGCCAGATTTGGATGCCTGGATGTAATATGCACATTCCATTAGTCTTGCCCCTAAGATATATTAGTGGTCCAGACATAATTTGGAACACATACATTCTAAGGAGAGAATCAGTGAAAAAAGGGTAGAGCTGACAGCAGCATGTAGCAGCAATGAAAGGAAAGTAAGGATAAGAAAGATATTGGGTCAATGAGGGGAAGGCCTACATAGACTTGGACCAGCTAGGTTAGTGATCTTGAATTCAAGAATGGTGGTAGCAATGAAGGGAAGGAGAAGAAAGGCACTGGGATAATCAGTAGGTGGGCTGGTTCACAGTAACTAGAGGAGAGAGGAGCAAGGTACATCAGTGTTGCTCTACCCATCTATTCTAAATCTATTCGGGCAAAATCCTGGACTACCACATGATTCTAACTAAAGAAGAACAGGGACAAATCAACCGAGTCTAGCTGAATCCCCCCCCCACAATATTTGTTCCATGCAAGAACAAAACACGTTTTCTCTTTCTTGCATCCTTCTACTATGAATTAATCATGCTCATGATAGGATTCCCATTAAGCTGAAACAAGAAATGTGATTATTCAACAGGCGGATGTGAAGAAGGATTGGGGAAAACAATGGCAGCAAACAATAAAAATAAAGGAAAATATCCCAAATGGACTCCAGAATGTCAAAACAAAAACAACTTTCTGCACAGCCCTAAGCATCTGCTGCATGCTACATCAGGGGTCCCCAACCCCCGGGCTGTGGACCGGTACCGGGCCGTGACATTCCAGCAACCGGTCCGCACAAACAAGCAAAGCCCCATCCATGGAATGCAGGCAGCACAGAAAACCACGCACTCTCCGGTCCGTGGAAAAACCTTTCTCCACAGAACCGGTCCCTGGTGCCCAAAAGGTTGGGGACCTCTGTGCTACATAATGCTCCTACCTTATTTAAATTCGACTCTCAAGCCACAGAGTTATCAAATCTGCGCCCCAGAATACCTTTGTGATTCATTTTGGCACCTACCAAATAGTTTCCATCATACAACACAATCTCGCCGACAACAGGACTACCAGGATATGCCACGTAGGAGTTGGAATGGTTGATAGAAAGTGCGCATAAACCTGCCAATAGAAGAAATAGTATGGTCAGCAAGTAATTTAAGCTCAGGGATACAGAAGTAAGAGGTTCACAGATAACAGCATGGCTTCTCCCGGAAAAGCCTAACCTGTGCTGGACGAGTGCTGGCAGCCACAAGCATTCTGGACAAAAACCCTCTGGACTCTTGTGACATCTACAGGCAGCAGATGGTATAGTTCCATTCAGAATCTGACCACCAAATGTGAACATTCTGATTGATTTTCCCCTTCACAAATCCACCTTTAACTGGATGGCTTTTCCTTTATGCGGCCATTCAGTTTCAGAGATCATCAGGGAGATACCAATGGAATCCTCCTGGGGAACTGCTGACGAGGCTAGTTTCATGGTCTAACGCACAACAGGCACAGCAAAAGAATGTGTGTAAGCAAAGAATGAATTCACTTGAATCTGAGTGCTTTTGTTACTATACCGGAAAGTGATCAGCAGGCCCACTAAGCAGAAAGAGTAGAAAACAGCAGCAAAAATTAGAAATGTTCAAAAAACATAGGACAGCAATTTAAAGATTTATTGCACAGTGGTTGCCACTATGTAAAGAGATACCCATCAATAACACACTATATCCAATATTATTCCCATTTGTTTCCTTATTTTTACCACTTTATAAAAGCCACAAGGAATTAAAATGTTAGGTATATCATATCAGCGATAACAAAGGATCTTCACAGATTCAAAATCTATCTTGTAGGCAAGCTAAAGTTGTTTTAACTTTCGAAGTCATCCCAAAGTGCTTTTCTCCAAAAGGCGATTGGACTTTCTTGGTTTTTTTTTCTTTGAAAACGTTTTGCTTCTCATCCAAAATGCTTCTTTGGTTCTTCTTTTCCTTTTGGAAAAAAGCACCTTTGGGACAACCATGATCAGGAAATTGAGAATCTCCATAGACAACTTTCCAAGTCCCTTTGTATTTTGTTTAAAGCAAAACCCCAAATCTGTTTCAATGAAAAAAGAGTTCAAATTAGGGGCGGCTAATTATCTCTCTTCTTTTCAAAGATCTTGGATTCCCTGTCCTGAAAAATTATTAACCACTTGCAGATCCTACCTTCGCAATGTTACAGAATTGCCTGCTTCATTAAATAATTTCTTAGTGACATTCAAAATCCTTTGTTCAAAATGATTTACACTGAAAGACTCCATTTGTTAAAAGTGACCTATTCTGAGTTTGAAACATCTATTCTGGAAACGTCTCAACCTAAAACAGGCCTATATTAAACTCAAAACACCTGTTTTAACCTCAGAATATCTGAAATACCATCGGGTACTTCCATTAATACTACTAAACAAAGTGGCATATCATGATGTCAAATCCACCCCTTCTCCACTCTGCTCATACATTGTGGATTTAGTCTTGAGTGGTTGAGGGAGACCTATTTGGGGAACAATCCAATGAATTGAAAAAAAAACCCAATTAGCACTTTATGCTTGCTCTTCTGCCCTGATTATGGACTCGTAAGAAATTGTACACTGTGCTCACACTCTTGTGCACCACAGATGCAATTCAAAATGCATTTGTTGCGAAGATGTATTTGCCAATTTGGCCTGTCTGAGCCCCCACTCCCCCCCCCAAATGTGTTGGCAAATGAAATATAAAATATCTTCATAATTATTTTTGTTGAACAAAGGTTGTGTGCCTAATGGCTTTTATTTAATTAATTTATAAGCTTCAGAACTCAGAAGTCAATTTCCAGTAGCTTACACCATAACATATGAAAAACATAAAAGCCAAATAAAATTAAATCTATAAAATTAAAAACACAAAACTACCAGAAAACAATAGGTGCAGTGATGACCATTGAAAGACCCTTTTTGTGGAGGTGTAAATGTTGGCAGCGCTTTGTCCGGTTGGGTCTGGGGATTTGAGATTTGTCGCAAAGGAATGCACAATGCTGAAACTGTTTCATGTTTTGTTCCAACAGAATGTTCTCAAAACATCGTTAAGCTCAAAACAAAATCCATTTTGTGCACATACCCTCTTTTTCATACACAAAAACCTTATTGCATACAGTATTCCCCATCTTACAGTATTTCCCACATTACCCGATTTTTCTGCGCATTTCAGCAGCAAGCACATTTCCACACTAACTACTGACTCTAGTCCAGTGGTTCTCAACCTTTTTAATGCTGCGACCCCAACCGGTCGTACGTCAAGGACTACACTGGTCGTAAGTCGAGGACTAAACCGGTCGTAAGTCGAGGACTACCCAACCGGTCGTAACTCGAGGACTTTCCCTGCCCGGGAGCGCCGCGCATGCCTGGTTCCGCCCCCTGCGCCGGCCGAGGCATAGCTGGCAAGTGGCAGAGACGGAGCAGGCCAACCACCAGCTGGCCCAGCCCAAGGGAGGTAAGGCACCCGCCGGAAAAGGGGGGAAAAATGGCAGACAAAAAAATGGCGGACAGCCTTGCTTGGCGACCCCCATGAAATGGTCGATCGACCCCAAATGGGGTCCCGACCCACAGGTTGAGAACCACTGCTCTAGTAAATGAGGGATGGTTCTGCAGCACACACAGGTAATCCAGTTGAAGATTCGGAATGTGCCGTGTCAGAAAGCAGAGAAAAGCCCACTCATACAGATCAGGACTCTCCATCTTGCTGCATGTGTTGGACCCACCATTCCAAGAATCCTTAGACAATTACTATGCTGGACAGACAAAACTAAAGATTCATAAGGCTGCTCCATTAAGATTCCTAAAGTCTTCCAATCCCACACTTTACTTTTTCTCCCCCCTACAGAGCACCCTCCTGGCCTACAGGCAAATTTAATACCATAAATACAAATGATGTTTGCAAATGTCATAAAAGTCCAGCCACAGATGAAAAGCAAGTCCTTCTGTTAATACTCAAAAGTTCTCTTTGTATTTCTAAGTGCCACTTGGCTCTGGGCCAAACATAATATTTAGCAGGTTGTGTTACAGCATTGGCATGAAAGCATGGCAGACAGGAAGTATGGATTTATGGATTTATGTCATCCTAAATTTTATGCTGCTTTAAGGAAAAGCAAATTTAATATATTGAGTGACCATAAATTGCATTTTTAAAAATTTAGGGTGCCAAGAGCAAAAGGGGATAACATGTCACAGATGACATCTCCCGAAGGGCTGATCTAGAACTGATCTAATGCCTCCTTTTTGTTAAAATAAAATAGCTATATTAAAGTTACAAGATGTTTAGCACATTTAATTCTGTAGGAAGAGCGGCAGAACTTGGTGGTTGAGTTAAAAGAGAGATCAGCTTAGAATCCTTATATAGCCACAAGAGAACTTTAATTCCGTTGACCTTTATCTAACCCTAAACAGGAACTGTTATTTGAGAAGATTCCTAAAAGATAGGGGTGGGTTTTTTTTTTTGCAATAAATCAGTTTACTAATTGGACCTTCATGTTAGACCTGGTCTTTCCCACCTGAGAAATACTCCTGGGAAGAAAAAAATTCCCATTCTGAAAGAGTCTGTTGCTATGCTGGGAAAATCTATTAAGTTCATTTTTATTCTGGCTCCCATTTTCTCAAACATAAGTTCATTTTGGCCTGCATCCTTATTAGTCTGTAATTTTTACAAACTGGCCAAGTACATATATTTAGGTTTAAATTGCTCAAGTATATGTAGTATTTATGTTTCTGAATTCCCAGCTTCATTTCAAAATTCAAAAAAGTGCAGAATAGGCATACAACTATAATCAAATAGTGATAGATAGATAGATAGATAGATAGATAGATAGATAGATAGATAGATAGATAGATAGATAGATAGATAGATAGATAGATAGATAGATAGATAGATAGAGCGAGCCTCTGTGAAGGTCTAAATGATGTTATACAGAAATAATATGTCCTACAAAATGCTTTGTTCCTGGTTACTAATAGAAAGGTGTGAAGTTATTAATTTTTGTATTTGCATTGGAGAAGTAAAGATAAAGTAAACAACCAGATCTGGGCTCCAGAAATCCAGACAATTACTAGATGGTGGCAGAGAGATATTTTACCTGTATTGTTCTATTATCATCTAATAAACATCTGGATTTTTTGCAGTCCAGATATGATAGTCCCAGATAACTATAAAAGTGCTGCCTCAGAAGTCCTCAACCATTCAAACTGCAATATTCCCATGAAGTGAAAGAGCTTGTACATTATAGAAAAAACAATCACATTATTTTTGAATGTGCATGTATCTATATATCAGCAAAATATCAGGAACCTTCCCCATAGTATAGATTTTGTCTGACTTTTGGGACATTAAAAATGAACAAACAGGTAAGATAAAATTATTTGAGGAACCCACTTAAGTGGAGAACTACTTGTCCATGCCAACCCTCCTATTATTTACAATGATAGGTGTACTTGCAAATTATTGATGTTCCTTAGTCTTAGAAAAGTTTCTAATACAGGTAGTCCTTGACTTACAACAGTTCATTTAGTGACCATTCAAACTTACAATGGCACTGAACAAATAACTTATGAACATTTTTCACACTTAGGACCACTGCAGCATCCCTAGGGTCACGTGATCAGAATTCAGATGCTTGGCAACTGATTCATATTTATGATGGTTGCAATGTTCCAAGATCACACGATCAACTTTTGCAACCTTCTGACGAACAAAGTCAGTGCAGAAGCCAGATTCGTTTAACAACTGTGTTACTAATTTCACAACTGTAGTGATTCACTTAACAACTCTGGCAAGAAAGGTCATAAAATGGGGCAAAAGTCACTTAACAAATGTCTCACTTAGCAATAGAAATTTTGGGCTCAATGGTGGTCGTAAGTTGAGTCCTACCTGTAATAGCCAATATTATACAATAGCAAATGGCTGCTAGCTGGACTGCATGGGGAAAGCAAAAGAGCGTCTTGCCTCAGAATTACTGAGGTTACCATTGACACATACCTTCTTCAGAGTTTCTACTGCCTTACACTGGAGTCAGGACAGATTTGTAACAATAGAGACTAAGCTGAGCATTGGTTTAGGGAGCAGAAGTGGGCAGAGATCTTGCTGATTATATGTTTTCTTGAAATAGTTATGTCGCAATAACTCCGAGAAAGCTATAATGATGTAAACTTGCAACAGTTAGGACAGAAAACAGCCAAAACAATAATTAATCTGCTTCCAGCTACAGTTAGAGGTAACAACAAGACCAAACTATTTCTATTGCAGAAAGCTGCAGGAACATTTTTCTGCTGGCACTATGAAGAGAAGAAGATCAGAAAGATTCTTCTTTTCACAAAGTCCTTTACTCCTCTTTGGCAATTCATCCTTGTTCCCTTACCTGTGGTGTTAGGAGGGGTGTTCAGGATTGTTTTCAGAAGCTTCATGTCTTTAATGTTATGAATATAAATAGATTCTTCCAAGCAAACAATCAGTCTCTGCAAGGATAAAAAAAATTAAAACAAAACTCTTGTTATTTAGACATTAGAAAGACCCCAAGCGGCTACCAGATCCCATTAGGGCACGGGTATCAAACTCGCCACGTCACGTGAAGTGTTGCGACGCATCGCAACTTTTTTTGCATTGCTGGAGCTGGGGTGGGCGCAGCCTCCGCATGATACAACCAACCGGTGGGCCGGCAATTTGACACCCCTGCATTAGGGCATTCCAGAAGGGTTCAGTCACTCAAACTACCTTTGAGGAAGTAAATAGGAGGACTCCTAACTTTATCACTTTTGATATGCACTGCATAATTATATTATCTTTTCTTCAGCTACTGCTGAAGTGATAGGCAGAAACAAGATCACAAACAGTTCTCTGTAACATGCCGTACTTGGTATTTGAAAAGAGATAGATATAATTCAGAAATAGCATCTGACACATCAGCCCCTATAGTTCTCTGTGACATGGGAGTGTTATCTTTACAAAATTGTTTTACCTCAAGTAAATCAATTCCTGATTATGATTCCAGAATTTTCTAGAATCCTATAGTTGAAAGGGATTTTGGAGGTTTTCTAGTGCAACCATTTCCCAAGGCAGGAATCCTCAGATCAATCCAGACAAATGGCTGTTTAATGTTTGCTTGAAAACCCCCAAGGATGGAATATAATTGACTTTGTTTGCATTCTTGGCATGGTGAACAGATTTGATTTGCCACAATATCCTTGTACCCACTCTTATTTTAAAATGTCATGAAATTTCAATCTTATTTTTTATTTTTTTTTACTTTATGTTGGGATAATATGCTCAACATTTAGGAGTATAATGGTGATTATGGCATTTATAGTAGCTGCTGTAGTTTCTGTACTATGAAATGGAAAGCATACTGGGAAAATGAATCAGTGGACGCACATTCTCCAAAATTACTTGATTGTATCATATAACTAGCTGTCCAGATAATGCTGATCCATGCATAATATCTGTTTGGAAAATTGCATTTACTGAAGCTCCTGCAATCCTATATTCATTTACCTGGAGGTCAACTCCATTAAACCCATTGTGACTTATTTCTGAGCCTATATTACTGTACTGTGAAGATATATATTAGCCAATTCAGCTAATTATTGACTAACCTAAAGCAAGCTAGATAATTACACAAAAAAATATAATACTGCAAATAGGAACATGGTTTCTTCCTTGTCCAGCATCTATGCATATTAGAAACAGGAGCAAAATATCATCTCTGACAAATTGCTAATGGTATAACCATGTTGGGACCATCTGGTTACAACAATCTAGATCTTTTAGCTTTTTCAATGAAAACATAAAAGCCATTTACAGGATCTAGCGAGGCAAAGAACACAAAGCATCTGAAATCACGCTAGCAACTTGCTTGGCATCCTGAGGCCACTGAAAATGTAGTGTATTTAAGAGGAACTTTATGTTCATAAACCCAAATTTGAAATTATTGCAAAAATAGGATTCACTACTTAAATCCTTTATTTTTTATAAAACAAACTCCTTTTTTTCTAGATACAGCATTCCAAACAAGGACTGTCAAGTGATTGAACCATGTTATTTCAATAAATAAACATGTTATTTCCAAATAATGTAGCACTATATTTTCCAGTACCTCATATATAATGCTAAAGTAATCAGAGATTTTCCACTAATATGATTCATGCGGAAGAGAGTGTAGTCTAAGCCTGTGTCATTATCAGTGGTAAATTTGGATTTTGCAATGAAATACTCTGCTTTTACAACTTCTAAAATTCCCTGTAAGAGCAATGTACTGCCTATATAAAAATCCCCACTTGTTGTCTAAAACTGGCTACTTATTTAAACATAAACTAAAATTTCCTTGTCTTTTCCCCCATATCTCCTAATATCCCATTTTGTTTCTAAATCCCTAAAAAAAGGGGGTCTGACCAAAAATGTACATGGCATTAATAGGAATTCATTTATATGCTGATCACTGAGCTCTGAGTAAAATCATATGCCAGTGAAATATAACTTTAAAATTACATTGAAAGTTTTACAACAGGTTCAGCTAGACTACAAAGTGCCACTGAAGAAGGGATACATCCAAAATTCATAATTTTGGAATTTTTCCCTTTCCTCTTTATACTCAATAGTTTTTAGTACCTGCCCTCCTCTTCTTATAATAAATTCTGATGAGTGTGAGGATTCAAAATAACATTCCAGCACTATACCAACTTTGAGACTAGATTCTCAGATGAGGACTTAACACCATGCATGCTGTTTTGTAATGGGCCATGTGCCTCAACCTAAGTTCTAAACTCCGGTGTGACTCACTTCCAAGTGCCAACAAGAAAGCAGCCATTAGTCCAGAAGTACATTGCTCAGAATTCTGGGAGTTAAAGTCCACACATCTTAAAATTGCCAAGTTTGAAAAACACTAGTCTAGACAGTCTCCCGCATTCCTACTGGGATGAGAGAAAAAGTTCCATGGAAAAAGGGACATTTGCATATTCCACCAGGCACGAACAAAGGATATTAGAAAGATAAAAAGAAAAGGATAACTAAATGAGATTAAAATGGTTCAATTATAAAGAACAACTTGGAAAATTGTAGATATTCAGTTACGGCAGAAGGAAGCTAGTTGCTACATGGCAAATCAAAAATGTAGATTTTTTTTCTGATCATAAAAACAGCAGAGACACATGTGTCCTTCTCAAGATCATACAATACGTCACATTACATGAAAAGGTCAGGACAAGTAAACATATACCATACCTAGCATATTGTTAGTTTTTGAAATTTAATTCCCACAGCTGTATTTACAACAAAAACAAAGTGTTCTGTCATTTTAAAGATTAAGAAATCTCTTACTGAAGAAGTTTTCATGGATAACAATCCAGTTCATGTATTTAAAGAAACAGACCATTGATTATAATTGAAAAATGTGTTTGGAATAACCAATTAGCCTATCCAATGATATAATACTTTGTTGCTGCAATGGTGGTGAACTTAAGAAACAGTTGGTGATGGATAGTTTTAAGTTTTGAGTTTTCGAAGATTAAAACACATTTTTTTTCGATAAGACTTCGTGACCAAACAGCAGTCTCAATGTTAAAAAAAAAATATGGAAGGGCAATACCTTCATTCCCTGCTTAAATCCCAAAGGATCCTGGTGGAACTTCCTTAAATGATGGTTTATAAAATTGGTCTGATAGAAAATGGCAATTTTCAAAAGTCTGTGTATAAGCAAGGCAAGATTAAGTACCCTCCATGTTCGGAATTATGACAAATTCATAATCTATAAATAATTTATTTATATATCCACAAATTAGAAGCTTCTGGAGAAACCATAAAGCAGTTCATCCAAAATCCTAGAACCTTCTTGTTGAGAATCAGAACCTGAGGCAAAACAGGCTCTTAGTTTCAAAAGAACAACCCATATTCACATTCCCATTTTTTAAAAAATTATGCTTATAAATTATCATACCCTTTCGCCAACTGGAAACCAGATTTGATTTTGCCAAACATATGTGACTAATAATGACCTGGCACTAAAAAGCTTCATCAGCTTAATTTAAAAGGATTCCTCTACTCTAAAATGCTAAAAGTTTCCATTCATGTGTCCAATCAAGAAAAATAACCACACAAATACTCTTATACTTTTCATTATTTGCAAAAATAACATTTCATCACAACGTCCTTAGCACTTTATGTTAAGGTTTGCAGCCATGCTTGACAGATGACATTCTTCACTCTTCGTATTAGATGCTGCGGCTATATTAGAAGGGAGATGTACTGTGAAGGCAAATGGATCATTTCATAAAATTAAGAGAAATATGAAAGACTGCAGTTCAACTAAGATTAAAGCTTGCCTTTGATATGGAATAGATGTGATAGCAATAGCAAGTCACAATGTTTTACAGCCCTCTCTAAATGGTTTACAGAGTCAGCCTATTGCCCCCAACAATCTGGGTCCTCATTTCACTGACCTCGGAAGGATGGAAGGCTGAGTCAATCCTGAGTCGGTCAGAATCAAACTCCTGGCAATTGGCAGAATTAGCCTGCAATACTGCATTCTAACTACTGTGCCACCATGGTAATGAGTAATTAAAGATTACATCACTCTGAAATATAAGATAGGGTGACACTTCAGTTAAGCCATGGATTGTTTGAATCATGGTGAGTTGAGTACATCAACACTGACTAGATTCTCACACTGGCTTATTATCTGTTGTAAATGTGATACAGACAAGTAAACAGCCTCTAGATTTTACCTGACGGTTGAGCCGAATGGAAAGGATATTGCTAGAATAGCTGTAGTTGCAGATTTCTGTCCCTTTCTTGAAATGATAGACATTCATCTGTTGCGGCTTCGCCCGACTCACCACCACCACCAGACTGCTGGAGAAGAGGCGCTCCACAATGAAAACATCTGGGATTTCATCTGAATGGAAGCGTGAAAAATTGTCATAGAGATAACACATTTTCAAAAAGGAAAGAAAAAGTTATTGATTTGATTTCTATCCTATCATTTCTATCCCAATACTGATGAAAGAGCCAAAACACTGATTCTATTTACTTATTATTGATTATCCATTATTAATTCATCTCCCTTCCATCTTTTTATTCCAAACTCAAGGCAGCTTGCAATAATAGATGCAAAATAATGGAACAAAAAGGCAATAAACATGAAAACCAAATTAGTCATTAAAATCATTATCAATTGCAAAAGATATAAAACCATTTACTTAAACACAGTCTTTAAGGAATTGCTCTGCAGTTTAGGGGCCACACTAGAGCAGTACCAAATAGTCAGTGGCAGCATCTTCGGAGGACTTTTTCATAACAAAGGGGCAGGTTCCTAGCAGACGAGGTGGTCCTACCCACAATCTGGCCCTAATCTGTTTCAATTCAAAGCTTTACACCAGTATTTTAAATTGTGCCCAACAGGCAACTGATAGCCAGAGCAGACATTTCGGCATAGGTGCCATATGATCCCTATACTTTGCAATGATTAAGTAGCTTACACACCAGCTATAATTTGACATAGAAAACCACAATTAACCTCAAGAAGAAAGAGAAAGTCTCATGTAATCCTTGTAGTTATGCCAGCAGAGGTAGTGGTAAGCAAATCAGTTTGAGGCTAGAAATTATAATGCTAATGTAGGGCTACCATTTCTGAGCTGTAAGAATCTGGATCAGCAATTCATGATAACAAAAAGATAAAATTTCTGAATCTTTGCAAGCCAGGTATGGTAGCCCAAAATCTGATGATGTTCTGTGAAAAGAAGGAACACTTTTATATACTCTGTAATATAGCTGGTATTTCTTTTGGGACAGTCATTCTCAGCCCAATCCACCTCACAGGGCTGTTGTTGTGACGAAAAGAGTAGGGGGGAGGTGTGTTGGATATGTTCACCACCTCATTTGTAAAAATAATAAAGGCAGGATACAAGCAAACAAACGAATATATAAATAAAATATTATTGCTTTTAGGCACATTAAAAACCAGGCTTTTTAAAATTTAGAATGGCCTTTATATATGGCAGATTCACCTTCTTTAGAAATACTCATAACCATGTAGCTGAGACAATGAAGAAAGGTTATAGATATTAAATAATTAAGTAAATTTATGATTATTAAACTTGCTGCCCAACTTTTATAAACTCTAGGCGGCTCACAGCAAAGACATTACAATAAAATCAATAAAGATAAAAAAAGATAAAATTAGCTTTAATTAAAAGAACCAAAAGTCTAACTTTCCATCAGCATACGCTGTATTTGCATGCATTTCATGTTAAAGAGCTCTCAACCAGCTTTAAAATCAACTATCTTCTGTCACGAAATGTAGCAACACAGAGATATCCCTTTTGTCCGCCTGAGTCACATGTAAACATTCTTGGAACTCTGTCCTTGAATAGTATGTTGTGTCCTGAAAGTAAGAATATAGTTCAATATATCCTGACCTACCAGGTTATGCTGAACTACAAATTAAGCTCTCCTGCTTGACTTTACACAAAATGGTTAAAATTCCCTCTCTTCCTTTCCTGAAGTCAAAACTATTTATTCACCATTATTTTCTTTTAATTTTTCATGTACAAAGGTACAGGTAGACCTCGACTTACAACAACGGTTTGTTTGGTGACCAGTTACAACAGTACTGAAAAAAATGACTTATGGCAGTTTTCATACTTGCAACTGTTGCAAGCATCCCCAGTCATGTGACCAAAAATTCAGACAAATGGGCAACTGACTCATATTTATGACGGTTGCAGTGTCCTGGGGTCATGTGATCAGCTTTTACAAATTTCTGACAAGCAAAATCAATGGGGAAGCCAGATTCATTTCACAACCACAACTTAATAACTGCAGTGGTTCACGCAAGAAAGGTCATAAAATGGGACAAAACTCCCTTATCAACTGTCTCACTTACCGAGAAATTTTGGGCTCAGTTGTAGTCGTTAAGTTGAGGACTATCTGTACATATTTTTAGGCTTTTCAGAGATGTTAGCACATTATGTACCTGTGTTCTGGTTTAAATTTAAATATTTGCAATAGAGTGTTTTCAACATACCCACATATATAAGATTGCACTGCACAGTACTATATTCCTTTGGATATAACCTCTGACAAATCCACCATATCTTCCCAAATGGGAGCAGCCATTAAATGGCAGCAAAGTTTTAATCTTTTATGTGGCTTTTGTTACCATTTAATTGTTGTATAGAGTTTATACTCCAGATATGGTAGTTTACTTCGGTCTTAGACGTTCTAGTCCAGTGGTTCTCAACCTTTTTAATGCCGCGACCCCAACCGGTCATAAGTCGAGGACTAAACCGGTCGTAAGTCGAGGACTACCCAACCGGTCATAAGTCGAGGACTTTCCCTGCCCGGGAGGGCCGCGCATGCGTGGTTCCGCCCCCTGCGCCGGCTGAGGCGTAGCTGGCAAGCGGCAGAGCCGGAGCAGGCTGACCACCAGCTGGCCCAGCCCAAGGGAGGTAAGGCACCCGCTGGAAAAGGGGAAAAAATGGCGGACAAAAAAATGGCGGACAGCCTTGCTTGGCGACCCCCATGAAATGGTCGATCGACCCCAAATGGGGTCCCGACCCACAGGTTGAGAACCACTGTTCTAGTCCCAGATTTACATTTTCTCCTCTTTCTTTTCTGGCCCAGTTGCCAGGACTAGATGAAAGTTTCTATGAGTTTCTATCATAGTGCATTTATACCTCTTTGCTGCCATTTAGTCATCACAGCTCAGATACTAACTTTGAGGATTAGCAATACCCAACAGCTTCTGGGAGAGCTGCCCCAACAAACCTAAAGCTCAGTCAATGACATAATTCGAAGAATAAAACTCAAGAGAAGAAAACTTGACGTTAAATTGTATATATTACATTTAAATCCTACTTTTCACATTGTTTATGACATTTGGTTAGTCAATTATTTTCTTCTGTGCACAGTGTTGGTTCGCAATCAGGTATATTTTAGTGGTGCATTTTCTTTATGGTTTCTGCTCATTCCTGCATTTCTGGGAGAGCTAAATCTTGGGAAGCAGGGTTATCTATCAACTTTGAATTTTGTAAGTGGAATTCCTTGGGAAATATTCCTTTGGTCAAATCTACACTATGTTCGGCTATTTGAGTGTAACTTAGTAAGAATCAAATATGAAAAAGAAGAGTAGTTGCATGGAAACAGCTAACAGAAATAACAGTTCTGAAATGGCTGGAGTAAGATTCAATGAACTCACTCGCTAAAATAATATTTAGCTGACGTGGATGCAATGGAGTAGGAGAACAGCCCTTGATTTACTCCCAACTCATACACTCAGGATAGCCACAAGAATTTGAAAGCTTCAGCTTCTGCATTGAATAAACAAACTTGCAACTCTATATCAACCAAACCTAGATAAGCTATGATTAATCTTAATTATAGTTAGGAAATTCAATTAAATTCAAAAAACAATTTATATTAAGCTAGCTTGTGTTTAATAATAATAATTTACTTGTACAATTTTTGGGGGGACAAAACACTAAACCATGTTAAATCTAAAACAGAAACTTCTAATTTCTATGCTGCTATGTTACAGACATCAATAATGCCACTCTCATAAATTCAATTGTGCTTTCGCAGCAATGACCTTGCCTCTAATGAAGGCAAATGTATGTGTCCCAGGATAATGTGGCAGGATCTAATCTGAGTCAGTCACTGGGACCAGAGATCTAGTCTTCCAAGCTTTCAGACTCTGGCCCTCCTCAAGAAATGTATCTCTAGATGTGTGCACTGGGCTGTTCTGTGAGTAGTATTTACATAGAGAAGTTCCCCGAGGATTGGCTCCAGCATAAGTCCGAAAGCTTAAAAGACTAAATCTCTGGTCCCGGTAACCGACTCAGATTGTATCCTGCATGACCTTGCCTATCTATTTTGTAGCTTTCATTCTGTGATTCTTAGCAATGTCATGCTAGATCAGGGGTAGGCAACCTTGGCTCTTTTATGACTCCTGGACTTCAACTCCCAGAATTCCTGAGCCAGCATGGCTCAGCTTGGAAACCTCTCCCTTTCCCCTCAGCATGACTGGCTCAGGAATTCTGGGAGTTGAAGTCCACGAGTCATAAAAGAGCCAAGGTTGCCTACCCCTGTGCTAGAGAAATGTCATTGTCAATAAGTAATTTTCCTCATCAAACAGTATTTTTTTAAAAAATATATAAAATAATTTTATTTTCCTGAATAATTAAATGAACAAGCATAGTGTTTTTGACTCATTTGTTTAATTGGGCTCCTTTTTAAGCTAGTTTTAGGACATGTGGACAACAGATCATGTTTTATGGTCATATTTACGTAGAAATGTTGATAACTCAAAAAGATTCACAAGCTTTTAATCAATACTCATACTGGTATCAAACAGTAGAGAATTTCCCAGTTTTGATTTCTTTAGCATGCAACTGTCCCTTTAACACAGCTGCAGCTGCATGGCTGTTTGAATACAAGTAAGGCTGCAGCCAAGAAATGCCATCTGGTTTCTAGCAGGAAAGATCAGATGAAATTGCTCATTTGGGGCACACTAATGTGTTATAATGCAGAATAAAAATTATCACCAGCTATTATTTTGTCAGGCCAAAACACAACGGACTTACTGCTTTCATGGACCTGATCCAACTGTTCCACAGAACTCAGAGAAAAAAGTCTGTATCCAGTTTTGGTTCCAATGGCCAAGGAACTATAGAAGAGAAAAATGACACTAATTACATGCAGTAACATACATAGCTGGATATTTTTCCAGAAACAGCTATAGTAGAAGACTAACAGAGAACCACAAGCATATCACTCTGAATCATATGAAAAAATAATATAAAGAAATAGTTGCCACACTAATTCAAGCTAGTCCCAGTTGTTTTGAAGAGATATGAAAGACTCCTTGGGAAGTCATTTTACCTTCAAGTGGATCAAACTTTTTTTTAAAAAAGCAATTATGATTAGTGCACATGGAAATACTAAAATATTTAAAGAATAAAGGGTAAATCGTTTCTCATGAAACTACACTTGAAAACAACAAAATGGGAGACAAAATAAAAGCTAGGGAAGGAGAAAAGTAGTAAAGGATGAATGCAAGATGATGGAAGCTTTGAACAAATTTCCTAGCAAGAGGCTCCATTTCTGCCACCAAACATTAAAAGTTAAAAAAAAATGAAATATATTATCATTAATGTTTTTTAATTGGCTGCTCATGAGGCCTTCCCTCCTCCAACTGATTTATCGGGCTATTTCAGTTTACTTAATCAGGCTACCTCTGAAGCTGAGGCATATTGTCCACTCTCACCTAACTAAATGGGATAAAGATTTTGTGCTGAGCAGAAAAGATCCTCTCAAGAAATCCCTGAGATCTGATATTCAGTGCGGGACAATTCAATAATCAGAGTTGATGCAACTAATCTCCTAAAGGCTGCCAGTCTATTTTTTGATCTTGTTGCCATTACCAACTGCCATCAAGCTTCTTTAACAACATTTAACACTATTTCTCTTGTTTGCTGTTAATAGGATTTATTGTATTTTATCTAAATAGCTACTTCCAAATGCAAGACGCTTTAGAAAGTTTATCTATTCTATTCTATTCCTATTCTATTATGTTATTTTTTTCCCCCCCCCTCTCTTTCCCTCCCTCCCTCCCTCCATTAAGACCTTCCTAGCATGTATGGAAAGACTAACAGCTTTGGATTACATTCTTACATCCTCAAGGGTCACACAAATTTTAATCCATGTCATTGAAAGAACTGATCTCTTTTGATAACTTCAAATAAGCAGAATAGCTTATTTGAAGGAACTGCAAAAACAATACTGAACTCTAATAATAATAATAATAATAATAATAATAATAATAATAATAATAATAATAGTAGTAGTAGTAGTAGTAGTAGTAGTAGTAGTAGTAGTAGTAGTAAAGTTGGAAGGGACCTTGAAGGTCATCTAGTCCAACCCCCTGCTCAGGCAGGAAACCCTATACCATTTCGGACAACTGGCTATCCAGTCTCTTCTTAAAAACTTCCAGTGTTGGAGCATTCACAGCTTCTGGAGGCAGGTTCCACTGGTTAATTGTTCTCACTGTCAGGAAGCTTCTCCTTAGTTCTAGGTTGCGTCTCTCCTTGATTAGTTTCCACCCGTTGCTTCTTGTCCTGCCTTCAGGCGCTTTGGAAAATAGCTTGACTCCCTCTTCTTTATGGCAGCCCCTGAGATATTGGAACACTGCTATCATGTCCCCCCTCGTCCTTCTCTTCATTAAACTAGACATACCCAATTCCAGCAGCCTTTCCTTATATGCTTTAGCCTCCAGTCCCCTAATCATCTTTGTTGCTCTTCTCTGTACTCTTTCTAGAGTCTCAACATCTTTTTTACATCGCGGTGACCAAAACTGGATGCAGTATTCCAAGTGTGGCCTTACCAAGGCTTTGTAAAGTGGTATTAATACTTCACGTGATCTTGATTCTATCCCTCTGTTAATGCAGCCTAGCACTGTGTTGGCCTTTTCGGCAGCTGCAGCACACTGCTGGCTCATATTTAGGTGATTGTCCACTAGGACTCTGAGGTCCCTCTCACAGTTACTATTGAGCAAGGTGCCACCTATGCTGTACTTGTGCATATGGTTTTTCTTGACTAAATGTAGAACCTTGTTTTTTTCACCATTGAATTTCATTTTGTTAGATAGTGCCCAGTGTTCAAGTCTGTCCAGATCCTTCTGTATCTTAAGCCTGTCTTCTGGAGTGTTGGCTATTCCTGCCAGCTTGGTGTCGTCTGCGAATTTGATGAGTTCCCCATCTATCCCCTCATCCAAATCATTGATGAAATTATAGATTTCAATGAATTTGAAAACCTCCTAATTCAAAACATGGAGCACTTGCTAGGCCTTATTGCTGGTGAAATATGACTCAGAAACTAGAAAGAACTAATCTCTACAAATTATTTCACATTCAGGAGATATATTTACCTTGGTTGATCATCTTATGCAAGAGGATCTCATCAAATATACTGTAAGCCTAAATGAAGGACTAATAAATAGACAAGATATTCAGATCTAGCTTTCAAAGTTTAGTATTATCTGAACAGTTATCCAGCTGAATATTCACAGAGTGTTAACAGATCCTGAGAGAATGCCATATAGTTAGTGATAATTAATTTTGTTCCTGCCCAATGTGAAAATGCATGTGGATAATTCTCACTAATAGCACCATTTAAAACACAAATATGTTATTTACAGACAGCCTGCAACAGGCAATACCTAGCAAAGTTGCTATATTCAGACTCTCCATTTGCTAAGTATTTGACTGCAATGTTATCGGATAGATAATTGTTCAAATTTTAGATCAAGAATGATTTTCATATGGATTCTTCGATCACAAAGAAATGTTTTAAAAGCCCTTAGCTACAAAGAAAGTTGTCCAACCTATGGCCAAATAATCCTTAAGCTTTGATTAAACTTGAAGGTGAAAAATAATGTGGCAATCTAAATCGGGATGCAAAGTGGCAAATCTCCGCCCACCAAAACCTTGACAGCTTACACTATTTGGAGCAGGAGGTACACAAGTGTTGGGCACCTTTTCTTCTGCCATATTGTCTCTCTCAACAAATTCTTCAGATGGAGAAAGATCTCCAGTTCTGGGATATTCCTGGGAAATGAAAGGATTTTGAATCCCAAAGCAGTTTCATTCTACTTTTCTTCAATCCTGCAGAAACCTCTCAGGTTGAATGCCTACTGCTAGCACCAGGAGTAGAGAACCAGTTCATTAGCACAACTACCCGAAAAAGACTAGGACCGAGCAAACTGCTGATAGAACAAAACATTTCTATAATTCATATCTCACTTTTCTTTCAGAAAAGACAAGCTTGATTCACATACACTGTTAAATGATACAGTGATCTAGTAGTTTTTACTTTAGTGTCAAGTTATACTATAGCTGTAGACTACGGCCTTAATCTTATATACTATACATTTCTGTAAGTTATAAAGAAAGCCACCACATGATAGTTTGACTGCAACAGTTATTTTTATTTATTTGTATACCACCTTTATTTTTACAAATAACTCAAGGCAGCAAACACATCCAAAGTACCTTCTTCCTCCTATTTTCCCCACAATAACAACACTGTGAGGTGGTTGGTCTGAGAGAGCATGACTGGCCCAACTCACCCAGTTTGCTTTCATAGCTAAGATAGCACTAGAACTCATGGTCTCCCAGTTTTTAGCCTGGTACTTTAATCATTATACTACCAATCAAGTTATATTGAATATTCTGAAACAAAATGGAAGAAAATACATTTGCACATAACATGCATGCATCCTACCGATTTTCAATTTTCAAACTGAATGCCATAACCCTCTGAAGAGTAACAAAGGTGAGGGGTCTCGTTTCCATTCTGCCTGGCTAGTGCTGTCAGCTTTTCCCAGCAGAATGGGAGCAGAGTCTGGTAGCAATTTCAACCATCTATATGCTTTGTTATATAACAAGTATCCTATCCTCAAAGAAAAAAAAACCAAGCATTCCACTGTTTTCTTCCTTGTCTGTTAATAAAGTTGGCCTTCACAGACCCTTTTTATACTAGGAGCTAATGAATGAGATAGTAATTGGAAGGCAGAAACAAAGAGCAATAACAAAATATATCTTAGTGAAAGATGCTTGTAGGGGTCCAGAAACTGTATGTCATGACCCTCTGATGGGTAGCAAGGAAGCCTGGGGGTGGGGGGTTGTTGTTATCCCATTCTCCCTGGCTATTGCTGTCAGTTTTTCCCAGATTTCTCGGGAGAGGGAGGGAGGGAGAGAATGAATGTGTACTAAAAACCTGTGCAAAGATAATAGTGATTGAAATAGTATTTTTTTTATTGGTATCTTGCCTTGAAACAATATTTTGAATCCAACTGCAATCATAAAATGCAACAAAGCAAGCTGTGATATCCTCAAGAACAGCAAACTGTAATAGTATAAGTTTTCATATACTGATCCCTTGCATGAAATACAAATTTCCCAAATTGGGATATAACTTATCTCTGCTAAACATCAGATCTAGGCCAAGAAAGTTTATGCTGTCACAGGATTCTGTTTTTCTGCAAAAGGCTACTGTATTTTGGGTTTTGTTATACAGCTATGAAGCTGCTATTGTTATTTAAAAGAATTAAATACACTGCACTTATATGGTATGGTTTAGACAAATTCAATTTCCCTATCTTGATTCACCACAATATCCCACACTAACAACCGTAATAGAAGTTCTTCAACAGATAAGCTGACATATAAAGACCACAGCTGTAAAATACAGTTTCAACCAAAGGGGCTGTTGCTGGATTAACATACAGTATAGCAAAGTATCATATTATAAAGTGCAAAATAGGTAAAGAAGGCAGAATAACTATCTTGATTAGGAATAATGACACACAGTGACACATCTAGAAGATGGGTTTGATTTGGAATTCTTTGCTCTTAACACAAAGCATAAATAAAAAAATAATGTTTCTCCCCTTTCCCCCTCATTCAAGTTATTCCTTTTTTCCCCAATGCAAACTAACAAAACTAAGATATTTTAGCCTATGTTTTTCATCTGCAGAAGTTAAATTCCCTAAAATGTAAAACATATATAAGTGTGTGTGTGGTGTATATGTGGTTTTACAAGCTATATTACAAAGAAACAATTTGCTATTTCACTACATATCCAAGTCAATTCAGGTA